CCTCTTGCTCCTTGGCAGAAGTGAGAGTCTATTAGTGTGGAACATTGCATACAACAGATGTTTTTCAAAGTGTTGATTGGTTTTGCTGAATTTTTTTCTTTGTTATATGGGATGGTTCTCTGGGGTAAAGATATAGAAGGAAATGTAGATGATATAAAAAAAAAGATATCAATAAAAATCATAAAAGACCAGAAGGGAATATTTGTAAGTTAAAAAATTATCATTGATAATCGAGCCATCAACACAGACCTCTTATTTATCAGCCAATGACTTCTTGATTACTAAACTCTATTACCCTTCATCATTTCTTGCAGTGCAGTCCACCACCTTGATTTATGGTCCTTAGCTTCCAGGATACTGTTCTTCCTGGTTCTGTTTGTCCTCCCCTCAGTCTCCTTCACTAGTTCATTTTCTCTCCACTGCTCCCCAAAAGTGGGTGTCCCCCAAGACTCTGCCCTCTCTTCTCCACATTCCCACCTGCTCTAGTACCTTCAGTGATCATTACCTTTCTGCAGATAAGTCCCAGATCAAGTATGACAGATTTCTTCTCAGAGTTCAAGTTTCACAGTTATTTTGTACTTCACATACCCCAAAAGTGAACTCAACATCTTACTCCATTATTTGTGCTTCTCCTGGCTTCCTTAACTATGCAGTCAGATTCAAAATCTTTGTCACTCTTCTCTCTTCCTTCTCCCTCCTTGACTAGTCTATTGAGCAGGAAAGTGACATGGCCAGATCCATGCTTCAGGAATTTAGGTCCTGAATTAGGGTGACAGCCATGTGAGCAGAGAGAAAGGTACAAATGTGAGAAATGTGGAGGTAGACCCGGAAAGTGACTGGATGTGTGGCATAAGGGAGGGTGAAGATTCAAGGATGATACTAATATTTCAAATGGTGCTGCCCTCAGCAAAAATAGGAAAAGTTTAGAACAGTGATGGGGGGAGGGATGGAAACAGAGGCAAGATGAATTTGCTTTTGGATATGTTGAATTTGAGATGGTGATGGGGCATCTAGTTCAAAAGACATTTGATGTGGGATTAGAAATCAGAAGAAAGATTAAGACTGGGTACACATAACTGAGATTCATTTATATAGAGATAAAGACTGAACCCATACAAGATGGTGTCACCATCTTGTGGTCCAGGGCAGGGTCTTGGGGGTACACCACACTCAGGGGTCAGGATACAGATGAGGATTCAGCAAAGGAGACTGAAGAGTGGTCAAGTTAGATGGAAAGGATCATCCAATCCATAAACGTTTATTAAGTACCTACTATGTGCCAGGTGCTGTGTTAATTATTGGGTTTACAAAAAGAGACAAAAGACAGTCCCTCCCCTCAAAGGGCTCACAATCTAATAAGGGAAACAACATGTGACTATGTACAAACAAGCTACATAAAGAATAAATAGGAAATAATTAAGAGGGAAGGCACTAGAATTAATGAGGGATTGAGAAAAGCTTTCTGTAAAATAACTGGATAGTAGTTGAGACTTAAAGGAAGCCAGGAAGTCAGATGAAGATAAGGAAGGACAGCATTCCAGGCACTGGGTGACAGAGAAAATGCCTAGAGTAGAGATGGAGTGTCTTGTTCATGTAACGGCCAAGAGGCCAGTGTCACTGGATCAAAGAATTATGTGGAGAGGAACAAGATTTAAGAGGACTGGAAAGGTAGGAGGTGATCAGGTCATGAAAACCTTTAATGCCAGAGGATTTGGGGTTTGTTCCTAAAGGCAATGGGGGGCCAATGGAGTTTGAGTCAGATGGAGACACAGTTGGGCCTTCAGTTTAGGAAAATCACTTTAGTGGTTGAATGGAGAATGGATTGGAGTGGGGAGTCTTGAGATGGTATGGTCTTCTATGGTAACATGGAAGGAAGTGAGTAGGATTTAGGGGGAAAGATTTCTAATCCCACATCAAAAGTCGTTTTGGACATGTTTAGTTTAAGATGTCTATTGGATATCTAGTTTGAGATTTCTGAGAAATAGTTGGAGATGAGACTGAGTTACAGCAGAGGGGTTTGGACTAGATAGGCAGATGTAAGAATTGTCAGCACAGAGATGGTAATTAAATCCATGGGAGCTGACGAGATCGCCAAGTGAAGTGGTAAAAAGGAAGAAGAGAAGAAGGCCTGGGCAACACCTACAGTAACAGGGTATGATCTGGACGAGGATCTAGCAAAGGATCTGACCACCGAGAAGTGGTCAGACAAGTAGAAGAACCAGGAGGGAGTGGTGTCCTCAAAACCTAGAGAAGATATTATCAAGGAGAAGAGGATAATCAACAGTGTCAAAAACTTCAGGGAGGTCAAGGAGAATGAGGACTGTGAAAAGGCCATTGGATTTAGCACCTAAGAGATCACTGGTAAGCGTGGAGAGAGCAGTTTCAGTGAAGTAAGGTCAGCAGCCAGTTAAAAAGAATGAGAGAAAGTGGAGGCACCAATTGTAGATAGCTTTTTTCAGTTTAGCTACAAAAGACGAAAGAAATATAGGACAACAGTTAGCAGGGATGGAACCATCAGGTAGAGGAGAGAAAACCCAAATTCCTTCTCCTGGCCTCATAATGCAGCCTTTTCCCATACTACTTTACTTAACTTATTCTACATTACAAACTATACTACTGGTTGTTTTCCAGTCTTGCCCTTTCAAGTTTCTTCATATATACATAAGAGCTCTATTTCATGCCTGGAATCACATTCTCTACAATTCTGTTTTTTGAAATCTTTCTTTCAGTTCTAATTCAAGTCCCATATCCTCCATGGTCTACCTCAATTGCTTTGCTGAAAGTAATCTCTCCCCTCAAATTTTCTTACAGCATTTTGTCTGGTCCGCTCTTCTGGCTTATCACATTCGACCTTGCATTATATTTATTTGTGTAAATGTCTTGTCCCCCTATTAAACTGTAGGCCCCTTGAGGGCAGGGACTGTGCTATTTTTCATCTTTGTATCTCCATTACCTGGCACATTGCCTTGCACAGGGGAGTTGTTTAACCAAGGCTGAATTGAATTCTGTCATTCTTTTGAGAATATCTTGATAATCCTATTGCTTAGGAACAGTTTAAATGGTTTTCCATATAAGAAATCAACAAGCATTACTAAATATAAAGACTGACTCTAACTTTTCTTTGAGTACCAAGAGATACTACTAATTGGGTTTTTGCTGGCATAATTATGGGTGGTTTGTTGTGAATTCCTTTGACACAGAGGTTTTTAACTTTTTTTTTTGGATCGTGGATCCCTCTGGCAGTCTAGTGAAGCCTATGGACACCTTCTCAGAATAATGTTTTCAAATAAATAAAATACATAAAAGATTCTAAAATAAATCAATTGAAATAGTTATTTAAAATTAAAAAAAAATTTCATGGACCCCAGGTTAAGAATCCCTGCTCTAACAAGATTTTTTTTTGGGGGGGGGGGAAGGGGGGACTGGACTACTAGACTGGGTTTCTAATTTTATTAGTGTATGGATCTCAAGTGATGAAACTCCCTCTATCAATGCAGACAACTGTTTTGCAACTTAGTCTTACAGAGTCATGGGGATGGGGGTGGTATTGAGTGGCAGAATTAAGTACTAACATAATAACTAATTTACAGTCAGAAATTCAATGTACATATTAACACTGAACAGTTGACAATCTGCATTCTCTTTTCTCCAAATTGTTGCGATCCCTCTATTCTCAACCCCCACACTTTAACTATGCTTAATTTGAGGAGCTCTAATATATGCCACATTCTCATTTACAGGTTCTAAACATGGAACTAGAAGAATTAAATGGAGGGATAACTCTCTAGGTGGCTAATGCATTTCTTTCCTTTGTTAGCCAGCACAACATTAGCCTATTTTTCTAAACACATTCCATCTTTTAATATATAAGCTTCTATATACCGACAGAGGTGAAGAGAAGGAAAGACAGCTGTATTTTACAGAACTAAGAACCAATCTCTCCTCAACTAATTTAACTTATGACCTTTTCAGCTGTTGGATCAAGTTGTTTTAGCAGGCATCCCGCCAGAGAACCACAAAGTATGGATATGGTAACAACTCCCTATCCAATCTCTAGCTGTTAAGCCATCTGTTAGACAAAGACTGTTTGATGACATTAGTCAGAATAAAGCAGTTCTTTAACTACTACCTTCATCTTCTAGATTAAATTAAATTGTATCAGAGAAGGAAAACCAAGATCAATGATTAACCATCATTCTGGGCTAATTTGTGAACAATTTCATATTCAGTGTAAAGAATAAAGTTGCATTAGATCTAGGGTAGACCCCATACTAAAAATGCAGTTTTTGAGTTTACGGGCTTTGGTTTTGGTTACTCTTTTACTAAACAGAATTATATTTAAGTTGATTATCCATCACAAGTTTAATGAAGACCCATTTAAATGTTTCTTAATTTGAACTATTAGATGAAAAAGTTTGAAATTATTTCAGTTTTGCCACCAATCTTCTATAAACTAGGTCTCCCTTTGTCCCCTTGAATAAAAAAAAAAAGAATTAAAAATTCTGTAAGATTTTTACATCTCTGGATGTTTTATCCTTAAAAGCATATGCCAGATGCCCCAGATTGTCTTTAGGGTGTACTACAAGAGAATTTTAGAGTGAGAAGAAGTCTAGACTAACCCCTCATTTTAGAAATAAGGAAACCCAGAGTCAGGATATGAACCTGAGTTTTCCTGACTCACAATCTGGTGTTTGAAAAATTAATATTAAAAACAAAGATGAACAACTATGACAACCAAACAATATTAAATGGTATTTCTGGGATCAAGAGAGATTTTTTTAGAGTGAAAAAGGAAACAAATACTGCAGGAATGGAAGACCAAAATTCCATAAAGGCATAAAGATTTTATGTCAGTTTCCAAACAGAGTACAAAAGCAACAACACACGATTTAGTCATAAACTTTTTTTTTTCCTTTTTCCTTTTTGGTAAGGCAATCAGGGTTAAGTGACTTGCCCAGAGTCACACTAAGTGTCTGAAGCCGGATTTGAACTCAGGTCCTCCTGACTCCAATGCCAGAGGCTCCATCCACTGTGCCCTCTAGCTGCCCCTAGTCATAAACTTTTAAACATTTTCAATATGAGATCAAAATGCTCCAAATTTATACACTGATACAATTCATTAAAAACAGTTAACGCTTTTGAAAAAGAAATCACATTTGCCCCTGGACATAATGTTCGTAATTCGCTTTCAAAACAAATTCAAAGTAAGGATTGCTCTTTAAGCTTCCAAGTTCTTCTGCTTGTAATAAGTCTTTCACCTCTGGTAAATATTCACTAAGCTGAATACCTGTAAACATAAAAATATATTAATAACTCCATAAAACTTGTCTACTCAAGAAACCTGGCTGAATGCAGAAACATCTATGCTTCCATTTCAAATGATGTCATTCTTCTGAATTTGAGAAATGTCCTATTCTAATTGTTTCATTTAAAAAGGCACTTAAGCAATTCTAACAACATAATATCATTAAACAGAAATTTTACGGGACTGAATTAACTGCTTGGATTAGTTTAAATATCCACCATTAAAATTCTATTCCAATGCTTCACTAATGAGGTGGAAGTCACGGGTTTTTGAAGTAAATGTCAGTGGAGTGCAAGCACTAAGGTGGAAAGGCTTTATGTATGTATCGAGCAACAGACTTCAGTCCAGCAATGGTGCATCTTCACCCAAAGACCAAGCTGGTTAACTATGGAATGGTTAACCACCATTAACAGTGAACATTAGGTGCTGGATTATCTGGCCACAGTATCTCAAGTAGACTGAAAAAAAAAGGGGGGGGGGGGGGGGGGGGGGGGGGGGAGAGAGAGAGACAGAGAGAGAGAGAGAGAGAGAGAGAGAGGGACAGTGAGTGAGTGAGTGAGTGAGTGAGTGAGTGAGTGTGTGTGTGTGTGTGTGTGTGTGTGGTGTAAGATACACTGGTAGAGATTATACCAACAGAGATGAAATGACAAAACTCTTTAAAATGCTAAACTATAAATTACATATGAAATCCATGCTATGGTTCTGAAATACTAATTTTTCATTTTCACCCTTACTTTATGCTTTCAGTTAACACAAAAACTGTTACAACTAAGAATTATTTTTAAAGTTATTTCCAAAAAAAAAACCTGCTCTATTCTTTATTTCATTTGAGGGGGGATACTTAAATTAAAAGAGACTTGTCATTTTGAAATTTTGGCCATATATAGGATTGATTTCATAAGGTATTACAATTTTAAGGTTAAAAACCACACAGTTTTAAGGAATCATTTTGTTGTGTTGTCCACTAAAAAAAACTTGGCTGAATTGTTTAGCCAAATCAAAATGAGGTATTTTGCTAGTATAAAAATGACAAAAGTCCAAATAATAATTTTTAAAAAGAGTCCATTAATGATTATAATACAAAAACGCATATGTGGGGACAAGTTCATTTCCAAAAAATAATTTCAAAAATAAGTATGTGCATTTTCTTCATTTAATAAATAAGATCTATTAGCCAAATTTCAGGTTCATAAAAACAAGTTACTTAAGATACCAGACTGAAGTTCTCAAAATCAGGGACTGTATATTATTCTTAAGGCTCTTTTATAAGCAGTACATGTTTTGGGTTTACTCATTTTAAGAGAATAAATTTTTAACAATTTGATAATTTAACACTTCCAGTAAAGACTTAGTATTCTTAACTTCCTATGAATAAAACGATGTTAATCATATTTGTGAAGTTATCATATTAATTTGTAAAGGGGTAGTTTTGAGAAAAAAAAATGTAAATAATGGTAAGCTTTCTTGTTAGAATATATATTTTAACCCTAACATAGGGTCACTGTAGTTAGAACTGGAAGGGATCTCAGAGGTCTCCAGTCCAAGCCCCTCATTGATTTAATGTTGCTAGGTTTTTTCCTGCAGAATTAAAGGCATATTTTGCAAAGGGAAAACTGTATAAGCAATTTAGACAGAGTTCTTAAATACCTGAGTAGAAAGGTGACAAATAAATTCATGATATGCTCACACCTAAAGATACCAAATGTCAAACTCAAGTATCTAGGCTGTAGCCATGAGGATGGCAGTGCGGAGCAGAAAGTGGTAAAGATTTGGTGTCTCAGACTGAATTTTGATTCTGCCTCTCATTACTCACTGTGATGTTGGCCAAGTGACTTGTACTCCCTGTACCTCAGGCTTCTATGAGTGAGAGGTTTGAAGATGATGGCTTCTAAGGTCCCTTCTACCTCTAAATTTATGATCCTATGATCTCAGCTTATTGATACAACAAAAGTACATGGGTTTCTAATGTTATCTTCCCTTATTGCCAAATCTTGAAATCTATGTTTTATAAAGTAGGTACATTCTAGTCTTCCATTTATGGATAGTAGTACACTTGGGGCTCCAGAAAACTGGGGAGCTGATGCCAGCTCTGCAACTTAAAAGAACACGAGGCATCAAATCTTTCCCAGGGACTGGTAGGTACTAAGGAGTTTAGTCCAAATGTTCCCTCTAATAAAGAGACAAATGTGAAGAATTAATTTCTGAAACAGATTGATAAAGAACCCATTCAATTCTAGTCTCCCCACCACTATTTGTAGAGAGAAGGCCTATCATTTATCTTGCCCCTGACAAATGTCATATACCCTTGTATCTTAGCAGATAAAAAAATTTTTAAGTGCCCCACAAACTACCCTTCCTCTGTTTAATTAATTCTGACTTTGAGATTAATGACATATAATTTAAATTATTTAAACTACAGTTTAACCACTTAATAAGGAATTAAACTTATTTCTCTATATAGCTGCTAAAAGCTGTTTAAAAGAACTGATGGCAAAATTATAATTCCTAATTCAACATTTACTCATTCATTCAACAAATATTTGTTAAGCAATGAAAATGTACATGGCACTATGCTAACACTGGGGAAAATATGAAGAAAAATAAGAGTTCCTGCCCTCAAAAAACTTATAACAGAACTAATCACTTACCGTCTTTTAAAAGTTTCTCCAAAATTTTCACAAATATACTGTCTTTAGATACTTCAATTGGATCATCTTTACCATCTGAACTGGACCAACTACAGAACAAAAAAATCAGCATAAGGTTTGAAATTTACTAATTAAAACCTTATAGATGACTAAAAATATGGTGTCTTGTGGAAGGGAGGGGGTAGGGCAAAGATTATGTATCAGTTATTGTCCTTTCTTGAAGAGGATCAAAATGAATCACGACACTAGAGTCAAGGTACAGTGTGTGTCTGATTGGGGCTGATCAGACCAATATGAGCTTGGAATGCTCTACCCCAGGTCAGGCACAAATAATCCATGTGAAGATTCGGGGTGGATTCTCTACATCTGCACATCTTGAGTTTCTTTTGAGCTACTTCAATTCTGCTTTGCTCAGAGCACAGCATTTTCTCTGATGAGGGCATGCCATGCTGGGCGGTCCTGCGCCAGTGCGTCCCATGTCACAGAAGATTATGTATCTAAGACTGATTAAAGATTTTGGAATGTAAGAGACGCATACCCTAAAATTTTCCATAATGCATCCTGAACTTACCTAGATATTTGGCCAGAGCTGGACATGCTATACAAATATTTAACCAGAAAATCATACTTTAAAAATACCACTTAAGTAATCTGCCCAACGAAATGCTGAAGCCAACAGCAAAATGAGTTTTGCAACCTAAAGCATGATTTCCCAAAGAACAGGCAACAGCCAGAATGCATTAACACATATGTTTTTTAAAAAGTCAAGTAAAAATGGGCACTGTTCCTTGAACCTAAACAGGGTTAAACATATGAAACTGGGAAAATTTTTGTTTGAAAGCACCTAAACATAAACCACAGGCAAGTAAATCTACATGGTTAGCTGCAATCCTATATTCCATAACATACTATATCTTCAATTAAAACAATGATTTTAAAAAAAAAAGAAAGAAACCAAGATGAATAACTTTGTATGAGTGGGGTGGAGCACAGAATTAAGTGAGAAGGCTTGCTGGATGTTTTTGATGATGGCTTCTGTGACCAAATTAACAACAATTTTAACTATCTGGGAGTGCTCAGAGGAGGGAGGAGGTGACTAAATAAAAATAGCTCTATTCCCTCCAATAAAGAAAACGGTGAGCAAGGGAAAAGTTTTTAGTTGTCAGGCCAGGACATCTTTAAAATTCCTCTCTAAGAAAGCGACCCATGCCCACAACAGACTGTCTTTAATCCTTCTCACGCGTCAAGTTTTAAAAGAATCACTGACATAGATGGAAATTAAGAATACCTAGGAAGACGGCAGATACATAAAAAGGAGAGGCTTGAAAATTTGGATACTACATCCTCAAGCCTAAGAATTTTTAATCAAAATGAAACTGGTACCTCTGACCTTAGCTTTGTGAAATGGAAAAAAAAATCAATTTCTACATCCCACTCCCCCACCCCAGCTAATGTAGAAAAATTGCTCTGCATTCTGGATTTCTATGAATTCTAAATGCTAACAGACTTATATCCTTGAAATGTTCCATTTTTGCCCTTAAAAAAAAAAATCAAGGATCACATTGCTTCTTTCCAAAACCAGGTCTTAAAGTCCTTACAGGTTTGCTCTTTGTTTTGTTTTTTAAATGGGCAAGGATGTTCAACTACAAATGACATAAGGAAAAATACACCAACAAATTCTAATGAGTGACCCAAATGGACTTAAATACATTGTGCTGTTAGGTCTTACTTGTCTCTTTGAAGAGCTTTGCAAAGGATTTCAAGTTTGAGGTCATTTATATTTATGTCTTCCTCCTTTATAAAAGAAAAAAAGTGATTAAATCCTTATTTCAAAAGAATTATAAAGATCACTTGTTTCTCTATAAAACTTCATACCACATTCAGACTCAAGGCATGTCAGCTTACAATTATGTACTCTTATTCTATTTTGGTTACTTGGCGATAAGAGATAATTATACTTCTTGTTCAATGGTGGAATATAATTACAGTAGAGCCCCACTGCTATGCCCAGGTAGAGGTTTATGTTAACTGCATGCAAGAAGAAAAAAATTACAAAATCACATGTGATGAGGGTAGAAAGACTGTACAACTCCTAATATAAATTCATTTTTTGAACAAAGAAAAATCATTAACATAAATCCAAAGACAGTCTGTTATTTTTCTCTGCCTTTTTAAATTATTATGAATCATTTCTTTAGTTTTGTAGCTTTAAAAATACATATTTACACATTAGAAATTAATGCTTTATGTTAAATATTTTCCTGTTCTCTCTTTAAAACATGATTAATGCTTGGAAAGAATAACAATGACCTATTAGGTCACTAAGAGAACCTTATGTGAACTTATTTACCACTATGATAACATGAGAACAGTAGGAACCTTAGGAAACAAGGAGTTTAACCTAAAATTGGATCTTGAAAAGTCATACATAACTAGTGATTAAAATTTGTTCAATCCACTTCATATACTCAGAGCCAAGTTTCAGAAAAAATAAATATAATCAAGAATTATCACCCAAAACTTTGTAAGAAATGCTAAAGTCCTGCTTCTGTGGGGAACAACTGGAAAAGATAAATTACTAAAATTGATAAAGTTCATATCCAACTAATCAGGTACAAAACTAAAGAAATAATTCATGTTCCTTAAGACAAATTAAAAACCAATAGCTAACAGTCTTTGAGTCCGTACTACTTTCAAGTGGTGGAACCAGACACCGAATGTAATGGCTATCTATAACTTACAGAGAGATAAAGAAAACCAAATATATAGGTTCTTATTTTATCATCCAAAAAAATCTTCGGACAATCATTCAGGAACTTCTGGATTTATTTATTTATAACATAACTGAAAGAGGTCACTGCATTTTTCTTTAAAGGGAGCTGAATGCTGGGTTCACCATTACTGAAGGTATTTAAACAGAGGTGGAGTGACTGAGTTCCATACATACCTCAAACTCACTATGTCCACAACAGAACTCTTTCTTTTGCTCCTCAAACCTACTCCTCTTCCAAACTTCCCTACTACTGTCAAGGACACCATCAAACATCTAATCACCCAAGTTTGCCACCTCAGTATTATCCCTGACTCTTCACTTTCACTCACCCATATAGCCAGGTAAGTCCACCAAATCTTGTCATTTCTCCTCTCTGTTCACATCACATAGCTCCTTCCCTAGTTCAGGCCCTCACCACTTTTCAGCTGGGTTACTGCAACAGCTTCCAATTTGTTCTCCTTGCCTTAAGCCTTCCTCTACTCCAATTCATCCACCACAAAGCCACCCAGGTGATTGTCTTAATACATAAGTCTGGATCATGCCAGTGGTGGTGTTCCTGCTCAAACACCACCAGTAGCTCCCCGCTGCCCCAAGCTTAAACACTCTTCTTTTTGACATTAAAATTTTTTCATTATCTGCCTCATCCCTACCTTTCCAATCTTAGATTTTATTCTCATCCTCCCAGTTGGTGTACTTACTGTTCTGGACCTATGACCCTCCATCTCCCATCTCCATGACTTTGTGATGGCTGTTCCCTGTGCCTGTGTCCCTCCTACCTGTATTTCTGGGAATCCCTGGTTTCCTATAAGACACAGCTCAAGAGCTATCTTCTACAGAAAGCCTTTCCTGGTCCCTCTTTCTTTCCCCCACCTTCTAGCTGCTTATACATTTCTCTCTCTCAAAACTATTTTGTATTAATTTTGTATATCTTCTGTATGTGACACATATGTACACATCGTCTCTCCCATCAGAATGTAAACTCCATAAAGACATGGATTGTTTCACACTTGTCTTTGTATCCCAAGAACTTAAAGTGATTGGCACACAGTAACCACTTAATAAATGTTTATTTATTGACTGATTCATATGTGTCTAACAATGGCTGTAGCCGCAAACCAAAATTACCATCAAATGGCCTACCAAGAAAAACAGCATTTTTTTTAGTCACACATTTACCCTTGCAACCACACCCATACAGGATCCCAAATGCTTGCTAGTACTGTCATCTTTGAATAACAACTATTATTTAATCCTTCCAGCTGCAAACGTGAACCTTTTGGGTAACATTTAAAAATTATTTTGAAAAAGACAGACTAACTTGTCACCACACATTCAGGTCTGAGTGAGCCACTGAGTCTCTCTGCCACTTAGTTTAAGATGAAGGATTAAACTAGGTCATCTTTAAAATTTCTTTCAGCTATGGGAGTTCATGATTCTATGATCTGTACCTCTGAAAGTTCATTTATACATGATTTTCTGAAACTATTTAAAATGTCAGATCAGAGTATATTTTGAAATGAAAAAACAGTACAAATTGGTTCTCCAAAGTTTTAGAATTAAAAACATCAAGTATGCCATCAAGTATAGAATTCCGTATCAGGGCATTCAAAGGACAATGTGTTTCCAGAACACAATACAGCACACAATATACCCCAGAAATATGCTGATAGAGGACACAGAAGTGCCAAGTTACCCTGAAAGCACTTCAGTGACAGACACAGAAGGAACGGTCAAAGTGACTCTGTGCCATAAAAGGGTCCTGGGGACTCTCCTTGTTTACTGACAGAGGTGTGGTCTTTCCCCTCACTGTCATGATAATATGTATGCTTCCAAAACTGTATGGATAAGCCTCGTTAACCAACAGAACAAAGAAACTCAAAGCAACCCCATAATACATTTCAGAACAAAACAAGCTTATCTTAATTCCTTTTGTATTCTTAAAATAAAGGAAACTAGCATCTAAATGTGTCTAAGAATAAAAGTGGCAAAACTGGTATCCTCAGTGCTATAGATACCTTATAATATAGAAAGGATTCAAGGGAAAAGTACTGTTTGTAAAAGCTGTTAAACATTAAAGATCATGCACTGTCACATACTAGCAACTGTTTCAAATCATAAAACAATTAAAAATTACTGTATTTTGGAAGTTAAGCATCAATATAAATAGACTTTATACTATTTTTACTGCTGCTTATTCACTATCCTCTAACCTCCAATCCCTGACTCCTTTATCCTAGCTCCAATCGTATCTTGCCAAACCCCAAACTTGGATTACTCTCACCACCAAATACTTCCTCCACTTCTACTCCTATGGTGCTGAAGCTGGAGGAAATCATGAAACTGCTGACTGGGTTCCCTATAAATTTTAAATCTGATTTCCACTGGGCCCTCACTGAAGTAAAACAATCTTTTTATATCACTTTAGTTGATTTTTTTAAAGAAAATTATAGACACACTTTTTTTTTTGCCAATCAGCAAAAATACACCTTTTCTCCCTCCCATCCTCATCCCCCTCCCCCAACTGAGAATGAAAGAAAAACAAAACCTCTACTACATACATGAATACTCAAGCATAACAAATTTCTACACTGGGTACATCCACAAAATATATATGTCTCATTATACACTCTGAGCCCTTCATATCCCCATCAGGAGGCGGACAGCATGTTTCATCATTAGTCCTCTAGAATTGTGGTTAGTCATTATACTGATCAGAGTTCACATGTCTTTCAAAGTTGTCTTTTCCATATTGTTGATTTTGCAGAAATTGTTCTGCTTCTGTTCACTTTGCTCTGCATCAGTTAATATTAAGTCTCCTTAGGTTTCTCTGAAACCCTCCTGTTTCTTAGAGCACAACAGTATTCCATCACATCTGTTATGTCATAATTTGCTCAGCTTTTCCTCATTAATGGGCATCCCCTTAAATTCTCATTCTTTGCTATCTTAAAAAGAACTATAAATATTTTTGCATATTCTTAGATGGTTTTGCTTAATCTATCACTTAATGTATCCTCCCTCTAATTCCCCCTTTTTCTTTTCCTTCCTGCTTTCTATTGAGCAAAATGTATTTCTGGATATGTGTGTGTGTGTGTGTGTGTGTGTGTGCGCGCGCGCGCGTGTGCATGTGAGTGCATACATTTTTCCTTCCTACTTTAGGGGAGAGTGAGGTTCACATACGTGCTACTTCCCTATATCCTTTCTGAGTCTGTAGATGTCTACTTGTGCACCCTGATTACATGAGATATTTTTCACTATCCTCCCTTTCCTTTCCTTTTCCCTTCTCCCATGCATTTCTCTTCCCTTCTCTTTCCCTTCTTCTCTTAAGATATCAACACACAACAGAACCACTCTTAGGCAGGCCCTCTGTCCAAACAGATTCCATCAATGATCCCCGATGACCGGGTTCAAAGGGGACAGATGTATCACTTCCCTACACTTTAACGTAAGCAGTTATTATCTATTGGACAGTTCAAACTAGATGTTCCATAGGTATCTTAAACTCTACATGTTCAAAACAGAACTTACGTTTTCCCCATGCCAACTCCTCTCCACCTCAACTCTATCCTTTCTCCAGACTTTCCTAATTTTGTCAAGGGCACTGCCTTCTTCCTTCTAGTCACTTAGGCCTGCAACCTTGAAATCAAGCTTGACTCCTGCCTCACATTCCACCCACAGAGCCAAACGCTTGCCAAATCTTGTCATTTTATGTTCATTACATCTCTCAATTATATCCCTTTCTTTAAATGCACACAATTTCCCTACTAGGCCCTCATTTTCTCTTTCCTGAATTATTAAAATAGCTGAGTAATTGATGTCTTTGCTTCAAGCTTTCCCCCCCTCTAATCCACCTTCTACCTAGCTGCCAAAGTGATTTTCCTAAAGAATAGGTGTGACAATATAATACCTCTGCCCAATAAACTCCAGTTTACTAGACCTAGGAAGTCTCTATAAACTCTAGGACCAAATATAAACTCTGCTACTTGGCACCTAAAGCTCACCACAGTCTGGCCCCTTCTTAGTTTTCCATTCTTCTTACATATTACTCGCTTCTACACATTCTACTATCCAGGCAAACTGGCCTTGTTGCTGCTCTTCTCCTCACACACAACTCCATTTCCAATCTCTGAGCATTTGCACTGGCCATGCTCCACGCTTAGAATGCACTCCCTCCTCACTTCCACTTATTGGAATTCCTGATTTCCTTCAAATCTCACCTCTAATATCACCTTTTGAAGGAGAAATTTTCTGGTTCCCCTCAGCTACTAATGTCTCCCACCTCAGGGTTGTCTTATATGTGTTTTCTATGGTTTTATATATAACTATATAGGTGAGTGTTGTCTCTAGTAACAGAATGCAAGTGTTTGGAGGGGAGAGGGACTGTTTTACACTTGTCTCTCTTTATCCTCGCACATAATAAATGCATGTTGATTGAGCAAATGGATCAGGAAAATGAGAGAAGGTGTTACACTTGGCAAGAAGTTAGGCCATTTCTTCCTTAAAAACAGCACAAAACAAATCTCGGTGAAGATACAGAGCGATTTTGAATTGAATAATTGAGAAATTTGAGGAAATGTATAGAGATTACAGTGAATATTTAACTGAAATCCTTAGGGTCTATTCAAGAGAATGTTTTAGAGACTAGGGCATGTCCCAAAGCTTAGGCTCTGGAATTAGTACACATGAAGTATGTCAAGTAGTTGTTCCAAATGGAAGGATTTTTTTTTTTTGAGAATAAAGGAAGAAAATGACATCTATGTAGGATATAATAAGGAAGGGAACTGGTTCCAACTGAACAGTTTTCCTGAAGGGTTAGTACCAAACATTATTTATTTATTTATTTTTAACCTATGATAAAGCTTCCTGAAGAATTACCACCTAAATATTCCAATTTAATTGGTTAATTATTAGGTTCTCTTTTTCCCCCTTATATTTGTTCTCTTCTTCATAAAGTTAAAAGGTATGAAATTTGACATTAGTAAGGGATTTTAAAGGGATAGTCTTTTGTTGTGTATGATCTTTTCAACTGATTTTCCTCAACTTACCACATCAATGTATTCTAGCAAGTCTAGAGCTTTCTTGAAGTCATACTCATTGGCTCTTCTGTTTTCCTCACATATGTACAGCTATGGTAAAAAAAAAAAAAATGAGGTAGAGGATTATTTTTAGTGAGATCACAGGATAGATAACAGCTTATTCTTATCCCCAGAGTTTAGCATAGTGCCTGGTACAGAGTAGATGCTTCATATGTGTTTACTGAATTAATAGCTTTTAAGGGGACAGCTAGGTGGCGCATTGGATAGAGCACCAGCCCTGAAGTCAGGAGGGCCTGAGTTCAAATCCAGCCTCAGACCAAACACTTGACACTTACTAGCTGTGTGACCCTGGGCAAGTCACTTAACCCCAATTGCCTAAAAAAAAAATTAATAGCTTTTAAGAATCAGAAAGATCCATAGAAGGTCATCTAGTCCAACCCCCTCATTTTACAGATGAGGAACCCAGACAGGTTAAATGATTTGCTCAATGTGATCCAGGTGACATATAACAAAGCTGGGATCTGAACTAAGGTCTCTGACTCCAAGTCCAGCATTGTTCCCACTGTATCACAACGTCTCTCCACAGGGATTTCTGGGACAGTTAAGATATAAAGAAGTGGCTGTAAGACTGTGTAAAATACATACATTGATCAGCTGTGGTGCAGTCAGTACTGGCATCGTACTGAGATTAAACTGTTTCTCAGCTAGTAGCCGCTCAGGTAGGGTCTCCTGATGTAGCAGAAAGTGTTCTTGCTCAGACATTTCTAGTACACAAAGGAAAAAAGAAGAAATATCAATATAACTTCCAGGTCTGTTTTGTTGCAGCAAAAATTTGAATTTTTTTTTTAAAAGTAAGTTCAAAGACTCTCTTAGATATGTTACTGTATAATCTTATGTATGGTTTAATTAACATACAAAGTAGACAGAAACCTGGCCAAATGATATATTTCTAAAAGGCTTTTAGCACAGTACCTAGCACATAGGTACTATATAAAATACTTGTTCTCTTCCTTTCCCTTCATTTCCCCCTGGGCAACACCAAAGTTAGACTGTTGAAGGTAAGTGACAAACAGGCTAACAATTATCCCATATTCATGAATAGTGGTTTCTTTATAACACTGTCTACATGTTTTTGCCTTTTTTTTTCCCCTGAAAAAATGCTTTCCTCCAGTAAGGTTATTACAGCACAATTTCATTAAAGTGAGGAACCTTTTTATTTAAAAGTTTTTTTGTTTTTTGTTTGGTGAGGCAATCGGGGTTAAGTGACTTGCCCAGGGTCACACAGCTAGTGAGTATTATGTGTCTGAGGCCAGATTTGAACTCAGGTCCTTTTGACTCCAGGGCCAGTGCTCTATGTACCGCGTCACCGAGCTGCCCCCCTATTTAAAAGTTTTAAGAGAGATTTGCCCATGTTACCTAGGATGAGAATACAAAAAGATTATAACAAAATAACTGGAGCACAAATATTAAATATCAAAATATTACCATTAAAAGGTTTGGGAAATCAGAATATTGATTTATAGGTTACTAATTCTGACACCATTCTCATTACATGACAGAGTAAAGGATGGTGTTAAATTTAAGGGGATACACTAAGATGTCTAAAAACAAGAGAAAAAAGGAAAGAAACTGGAATAAGTATTCATTTAAATTCTTTAGGTTTTGAACACATTGTTAATTCCTGGCAGAGTCTGAAAAATCTGCTTCTTCTTTCATAGTATGAACTATGTCTACAGACTATATATACTTTAAAACAACTATGTCGGCCATTATGGCCAACATTTCTTTAAAATTATAAAGGACAGAATTTTAGAATTTCAATGAAGGATACAGATAAAATAATGTGGAAAACCACCACCAAGTTATAAATTGTGTAGGAATTTCTAATTATTTCAGAATAATGTTCATAATTGTGGTTATGATTTTAATTCATGAAATTTAATCCCAGTATGACGAATTAACAGCAAAGACTATTACATGCCTTTGCTTAATTATATTCTGGGAGTGTACTTTGTTGGAAAGTTGTCTTGAGTATCTGTTGGTTATTGTGTGTTGTAGTAAAGCAAACTATCAATAAAAATATTTTTTAAAAAATGTAATTATGGCATGGTAGAACAAAATGATACAGCTTTTTCTAAAAAAGATATTGAAGGGGTAGCTAGGAGGCGCAGTGGATAGAGCTCTGGTCTTGGAGTCAGGAGGACCCGAGTTCAAATGTGATCTCAGACACTTGACACTTACTAGCTAGGTGACCTTGGGTAAGCCACTTAACCCCAACTGCCTCACAAAAAAAAAAAAAAAAAAGATATTGAAATATTTCAAGAAAATTCAATTCAGCAAGCATTTATTAAATTACTACCACAAACAAAACACTCTGCTTGGCACTGAGGATAAAAAGAACCAAAAAAGCATCTTCCCTCAAGAAGTTTACATCCTATGAATGTAGCATATATATAATTAAGTATAATAAAAAGCAGGATGTGATGAGGACAAAGAAGAGATATAGATACAAAGAGGTCTAGGAATGTCTGAGGATGGGAGAGAGGGAAAGGCAATATTGAAGAGATGTCACCTGAGCTAAGTGTTGAAGAAACATAAAGGTTCTGAAAGGCTGAGGTGAGGAATGCACAATGGCTTGTGCCATTGATCAAGTCAAAGTAAAATGTTTTATTCTTGGAACACAGCAGGTCGTATGCCAAAGAGATCAAAGAAGAGGAAAGAGACCAAAATGTACATAAAGACCCGTAAAGTAAGGGGACATCCATCAACTGGGAAAGGCTAAACAAATTATGGTGTATGAGTATAATGGAATACTATTATTACACTGCAGAGATAACAAAAGGGATGGATTCAGAGAAACTTGGGAAGACTGTATGAATTGATGGAGTAAAGTTAACAGAACCAAAGTAACTTACATGATAACAGGAACAATGTGAAAAACAAAACAAAACAAAACAAAACTCTGAGAACTAAATACAACGACCAATAGACTCCTGAAGAAGAAGCAACGAAGAACCTGACAGAGAAGTGATGGACTCATGGGTACAATAAGACATACATATCTGAATATGCTCAATATGGGAATTTGTTTTGCTTGATTATGAACACTTGCTCCAAAGAGTTTGTTTTTCTTTTTTTTCCTCAATTGGGGTTTGGGAGGTAGGGAGGGAGAGTAGTAATAGGGTTTCAAAAAAAAAAAAAAAGAAAGAGTGGTATTGAAGCCTTTGTTAAATGCACTGTACAGAAGGAAGTAGTTAAGCAGGACAGCTCTGAAAATTACATGCAGAATTTATTATATATTTAAAAGGAAGAGCAAGATAAACATAATAGAAATTCATGTACAAGTCTTTTCCCGTTTTACTTGATATAAAAAAATAATCATTTTATTTAGACTTTAAGTTCAGTTAATATCTATTACATAAAGAAGTGAATAACTTTATTATAGTGAAATATTTAAACACTTGCAAATTATTCATTCTACATTGCAAGTAGTTGTTAGCATATCTGATTTATAAATGTGTTTAATCCACATGAATTTAAAATGTACTTGTGAATTTATTTTTCAATGATCAATAAGCTGCAGAACTTAAAATTAAGGACTGATATTTAAGATATATAGAAATAATCATACAATAAGTCTAAGGAAAAACATTTCCCTTAAAAGAAAGACTGATATGTACTGACTGGAATGCATACAATTCAATGATGGAAAACAGTCTCTTTACACTAACATAATTAACAAGCCTCGATTTAGCTCTTCCCATTCCTCCCCCCCCTTTACATTTAATCAGTTATGAAATTCTCTAGATTCTGCCTCCACATCTTTTATGACCATTACTACCTTTCTACTCATATTACCTCCTAGTTCAGGCCTTTACCTTTCACCTAGACTACAGTAATAGGCTCACCTGTCCCCCTTCCTCCAGTTTCTTTCTCCTTTCTAGTCACCCATCACAATACTGCCAAAACAATCCACCTGTGGTACAAGTATGATCATGCCATTTCCTTGTTCAGAAACCTTCAGTGGCCTGTGGGTTAAAACACAAGCTCCTAGCCTGACATTCAAGACCCTCTATCGTTTGGATTATTGCTACCAGGCCTACCTTCCTTCCCATTACTCACATCCATATGCCCTCACTTTAGACAAACTGTACTATCAGCTATTCCCCAAAGTTGATAACCCATCTCTTGACTCTACAAATTCACAGAAACCTTTGCAAGGCTGGGAATGGCTGCCCTCCTCATCTGTGTTTTTCAGAATCTTCCTTTTCCCTCAGGGTTCAGCTCAGGTGCCTCTCTCCATAAACAGACTTCCCAGATTTCCAAGCTCAAAGGGCTAGTTCCCTCCTCACATTTCCCAAGAGTACCTTGTCTGTCTCTTCTTTGCTCATATCACTGTTTTGTGTCATACTTATCTGTGTACAAGTCATATCCCTCCAAGAGAAAATGTGAGCTCCTCTGGGGCCAGAGAGATATCACACCCAGAATGTGCTTTCACAAGAATCCATGATCACAATACAATTGTTTTGATATTGATTTAAAATTTATATCCTGAGGCCAGCAGAGGGCCTCATACATAGTAGGGACAGAGACAAGAACTAGGACTGTGATTTCATTGGCAATGGAAGTTTCCTGTGCCAGTGCAGGTCAAAACTTTGTAGGGTCTTGGCAAAGGTCCTCCAGCCATTATGTGTCAGAAGCAAGACTTGAACCTGGGTCTTCCTGGCTCTGAGGACAGCTCCTTCTCCACTATGCCATGAGGCCTCTGTTAATAAATGCTGGTTGAATGACATTTATTAAATTGTCTCTTCTGCCCTTCAAAACATTTTACCTTCAATTTTTTCTTGAATTAAATCCTCTGAAAAATCTGAAGCTAATGCAGCTAATTTACTAAGGCCAAGAAGCGTTTTCTTTTTTGCAAAGTAACGAGTCTCTATATTTGCCAAGCCCAGAAGCGTTGTATGAGCCTAGAACAAACCAAAATATGAGAAAATATTAAGATAATGGGTAATTATTACTTTGAGGAAGCTGAAATAAAGAATGAAGAAAATTCAAATATACAACTTCTTTTTACTTTACACAGAATCATAGATTCAGATCTGGAAGGAACCTTAGAAGCCAAAAAGTCCAACTTCTTCAATTTACAGATGCAAAAACCTACATAACATGAGATTCAACTGCTTGTCAAGGACAAAAAGAATAAGCTTTTGAGGAAGGACGTGAACTCAGGTCTTCCTAACTAAAAGTTCAGTGACTTATCCATTTCATTACTACTGTCTCATTTGTATCACAATTTATGAAGAAAAGCACGCCTTTCTTACTAATCTGTGGAAAGTGAGGATCCTTCAAAGATACACACTCCACCATGGAAGAGCCAAGACTAGGACCTAGACCAGGGGTGGGGAACCTGCAGCTTTGAGGCCACATGAGGCCCTCTAGGTCCTTGGGTGCGGCCCTTTACAGAACGAATCCTTTTATTAAGGGGGTTTATTCTGTGAAGTTTGGATTCAGTCAAAGGGCCGAACTTTGAGGATTTAGAGGGCCACATGGGGCCTCAAGGCCACAGGGTCCCCATCCCTGATCTAGACTTTAGTATAGAATTTTACCAAACCTGTCCAAATATAAACTGGGATAGGAGTCTAATAATACAGTCACTATAAACCTGAGTAAACATGTTCTGATTTTTTTGGGTGGGTTTTGTGAGACAACTTTTTCTTCTCTTTGCCATCACAGAGCAGCTGTCAGTTGCCAGGGCAAGGCTGGAAGTCAGTTCTCTTGAACTCAAGAGAGAATATCTGGTAACCAACACCAATAAATCAAATAGATGAGACACCTAGAGCTTTTTTGTGAAAGGAGGTAAGTTATGAATTATTTATGTTGATATTTTTACAAGCAAAAATCAAAACTACATTTATTTGTTCTGTAAAAAAAACTTCTTTACCTTTTCAAAGTCTTGGCTATTGATTTCATGTAACCAGCTGAGGTGCTCATGGGCCTGCAAAAAATTTGTTAGCTGTCCATGCTGAGAAATGGGCTGTGATAATAATTTGCCACGCTTTCCCTTCTCCAAATACCAACGGAAGAGGAAATCTGAAAAATTCTATTAGGAATAAAGCCAAGAACACATTAACATATAGTAAGTACACTCTGATTAAAAAAGATATGTAATAATAAAATGCCATTTATTCTCAAGTCTTATTTGGTCCCCAAAATAGAAATATTCTAAAAATCAGTTTAATCTGTATGTTATAAAGGCACACAATGAGAGAGCTGAAGTTACTTTGGCAGTGATCCATGCTAATGTCTTCATTTGATAGGAGAAAATAAGGCCCTGAGAGGCTAAGGAACTTGCCTAAGGCCACAAAGTTGGCAGAAATGGCAAAGGCTAGGGCCTAGGACTTCTGACTCTTCATGCAGTTCTCTCTTCCATATATCCTACCAACTAACCAAAAGTGCTTAATTAAAACAAATGACCACGGAAAACAAGCAGAAAGGAAAAGTTTCTTAGAAACTGTAGATTATTTTGCCTAGTCAATGAAAGAAGTCCTGCACCTTTGAAAGTGTGTCCATCTTATTTTGTTAAGGAAGGTGGTTTTAAGAAGCAAAATTGTCATCTTTTATACACACATATGCTGGGGGGTGGCCATGGTGTGATGAAGAGCAAGTCAGGCCCAGAGCCAGTAAGAACGGGGCTCAAGTCCCCCTGAGCTATGAGGTTGCTTTGCAATTAAGACCACTGTACAAGGGGTCCTGGTAAAGGGAATTTCCTCACCAGAGGGTTCCTGAGACCAATGAAATCTATCAATCTATCTCCATTGTTGCATGTCTGTCTATATATATATATGCATCAAAATCACAAGATCATAGATCTAGAATTGGAAGGGTGTGTCAGAAGCTATTTAGTATTATCCCCTTCATTTTACAGAAGAAGAAACTGAAGCCCAGGAAGGGTAAGTGATTTGTCCAAGGCCACACACAGGGAGTAGATTCTTCAAAGAACACTGGTCCTCTGACAGCACAGCAGTGCTCTTTCCATTGTCCTATGCCACCTCCCTAACATAACAAATGATGGCAATGTTTATCCATTTGTATTAACTAAAAGGCTATCTGCTGCTCCAGCTATTTGGGAGCTTGACTCATTACATTCAAAACAAAACTCATGATCTCCTTCCCCTAAAACCAACATTTTAGCAAAATGTTCCTATTTTTGCTAAGGGTATCACCATCCTTCTAGTCATTCAACTCTGCAACCTTGGGATCATCTTCCAATTTTTCTTTCTCCACATTCAAGAAGGTGACAATTATTGCCAATTCTCCCACAAAATACTTGTATCTGTGCCTTTTCTAACACAGGCATCACCAAAGGTCAAACCCTCATTACCTCCCGACAGCTCGACTGTTACAACCTCCTAAATTTCAAGTCTCTCCTTCTCTAATCCATCCTTCACAGCCCCCAAAATAACCTTACAACATAAGTCAGATCATGTCTCTACCCTGCTCAAGAACCTTCAGTCGCTCCCTATTGCCTCAAAGATAAATGAATATAAATACAGTTGTTTGGCATTTAAAGAAATCCCTTTAGAACATCACTTCTAAATACTTTCCCAGGCTTATGTCACATAAATCTTTATCACAGTCTAAGTTCCAGTCAAAGTGTCCTACCTTAGTGATCTTTTCTACTCACTACTTCCTCCTGCCACTTTGTGCCTTTGTCCCCTCATTCCTAGAATGCACTTCCTCCTCACCTCTGGGTCTCAGAGTATGCTGATGAAATCCAAGTCAATCCAACCCAACAAGTATTTGTTAAGCACCTCCTATGCATAAGATACCAGCTCAGGAATACAAAGACAAAAGAGAAAAATCTCTTTTTTCAAAAAGCTTACATTTCACCAGAGGAAGATGACATGTCAACATGCTTACTTCAACATTCAACTCCCTCACTACCTCCTCCAGGGAGCTTTTCTCTTATTTCTCTAGTTGTTAATGCTCTTTCCCCCATCACATATGTATCTGAGTATGTGCTGTATCTTCATTCCTAAGCAAGTAGGTGGCTAGAGAGCAGGATTTGAAGTTGGAAGACCTGAATTCAAATCCTGCCTCACACACTAGCTGTGTGACCCTGGGCAAGTCACTTAAACACTGCATGCCTCAATTTCCTCACCTGTAAAATTGGGATAATAATGTCACATGCCTCCTAAGTCATTGTGAGGAAAAATAAGATAATATCTGTAAAGTGCTTTGCAAACCCTAAAGTACTATATAAATGCTAATTATTATTAATATTGTTTTTACTACACCCCACCCCCCAAAACTGCCTTGAGGACAGGGACTACTTTGTTTTATCTTTACAAACCCAGAGGCTAGCATTGTGCCTTGCAATAGGCTCTTAATAAATGAATGACTGATTGATTGATTTAGGGTAACTACTTTCAAACTTTTTTCCTGAACTTTTAGGGAGAAAAAGGTAAGCAGGGTGTTCCCTTGTGTTCTTGCTGCATCCCATGGAGAACTGGTTTTTCCATTTTCTACAGAAATTTAAAAATAAAAAGCAAAGCACAAAAAGCCTCTTCTCTCTGAAATGTCCAAGTTTAGGGGGCAAAATATCCCAAAAACCTCGGCAAATTTCAGCTATGGTTCCATTACAATGAAATGACCCCTCTGACTTATTTGATAATTCAAGACACTGTTAACAAAATGATCATTCACAATAATGCAACTTGCTATGGAACTGTCCAAGCTGTCAGAGCCAGCAGAGTCCTAGAAAGAAAAGAACATTAACTTAAGAGTCACCAGACCTGACTTGACCTCCAGGCCCTGTGTCTATGGGTAAGATACTTAACCTTACTCAGCCTAGGCTTCCTTGCCTGTAAAAGGGGATGATAGGTATTTTACAGAGCTCAACCACATCACTGACAGGAAAGCATTTTGTGAATCAAAAAGCACAATAAAAAGCAATTTATTCTTAGGGTCAAATATTTTCTTTGAGAGGAAAAGGGGTAAGGGAATAGGCATTTGGATTATTTACACAGAGCCTACTATATGTCAAGCACTCTTCGAAGCACTTTACAAATATTATCTTATTTGATCCTCACAACAACTCTGGGAGGTAGGTGCTGTTACTATCCTCATTATACAAACAAGGAAAACTGAGGCAGATAGAGGTTAAGTGACTTGTCCAGGGTCATACAGCTAGTCTGAGGCTGAATTCAAACCCAGGTCTTCCTGACTCCAGACCTTTTGCTCTGTCCACTCTGCCACCAGCTGCCTGGTGCAAGAGAAAGAGAACTTACATTGCAAAGATCATTTGGAGCTAGAAGACCTAGGTTCACTTGTCTGTTACTGAGCAACCTTGGGCATGTCCCTGAGCTTCTCTGGGTCTCATTTTCCTCTTCTATATAAAATGAAAGGGTTGGACCTTTCGACTTGACCTCTAAAGTTCCTTCTAGCAATTAACCAATGATGCTCTAAGTATCAAATTCATGAAGTTCAAATGAGATAATGCACATCAATCTAAAGCACCACACAAATGTAAACTACTACTATTATTTTCCCCTTTTAGGAATAAAGAGGGCAAACATTAAATAGAGATGCTGAGTTTTCTGAAAGCAGGGTACATGTGTATTTTTTTTTTTAGCAGTTCTTCTTTACAGAAGTTGTAATTTGCTAAACAAATTATAAGACAAATTGGAGAAAGTAATTCAGTTTTAAAATTAATAAGTAGACCTCATTAGCAAAGGGAAAAAAGATTAAAAGCAAATCATTTTCTTTTAATTCATTCTAAGTCTCTAAAATGAAGTACCAAGGATTAATATTAAGGGTTTGAGCATTGTTATGTAACTGGGAACTTCAGTGTCTCAAGATGTGACTAGGTTCCATGAACCAGTTAAATATAACTAGAACTGTTACAACAGGAAACCTTTAAGATGGTCAAATCTGAGAGAAGCAGGCTCTAAACTTGCCCTCTAAGCATCCTCTTATGCATATGCAGCTTCTTATATTCTGTACGTGTTCATGAATCACAATGACTTTTGCTATACTCATTTTCTTTCCAAACAAATATTAGATTTAAAATATTGAGGTTATGCTGTAAGATTCTCTGCCTAAATATTAAACTGTGTTACCTGATCAGCAAACTGAGTCATGTAACGCTGTAGTCTGGCTTGGTTATCAGTTTGCTCACACATCTGAACCAAGATATCAAAGTCACAGTATTTCTCTGCTAATGAAGCAGCCCACTGGTGCTGTCCAAGAGAAACTATGAAACCAAAAGGAAAAGAAAAAATGTATTAAGCAACTACTTACGTTAACTTAGAAAGAAAAGCATAATAAACTACACTATTTAGGTGGAAATACTTAAGTGAGTTCAGTACTTTCAGTGATTTCATCTTTGCAAAAAATTTATGTGAAAGTCCACCTTTAATCTATTTAAAAATTAAAATGTTAAGTAATGAGAAGTTTAGTTAGTGGATTTAATTTCATGCGCTATACAAACTTATGATAGATACAATCACTCCAATTACATTTGGAAAAGAGATTACTGTTGATTTGTGTTTAGTTTCAATTAGGGAAATTTCATTAAGTTGCAACTGATTTAACTAAAGAAATTTTACTAAACATGTAGCTTTCTCTTTGTATTTTCTGCAAATAAACAGGAGTACTTACGAAGAGGAGACAAGATATCTGCTCTTTTCTGAATGTACTCCATTTCCAGGTTGTTATACCTTTCTTGATCACTAGGTTTGTCCACAGACTTAAGCTGAGAAACATAACTATCCAAGTAAGAGTCAATTAGTGCTACAAGCTGCTCAGTTAGGATGTTTCTCAGATTGGTATCTACTTGAGGATAAACCACCTTCAGCACAATTCCATGTTGTCGAACTATTGCAGTTCGTATGCCAGCAGGGCCACTTGTTGCTGTAAAAACAAAGCGGAAAAAAAATTCAGAAGAAAAAAATTGCATCAGATACAAAACTAAATCGTCACATAAGTGTATAATCACTTACCTAAAATTTAAATAATTTAATTAACATTTCTGGAAGAGGCAGGCTTCAAAAAACATCACTCAAGGCCCAGCTTCTAACTATGTTTAGAGGTGATCTGCAAATTATTTTCATTGGCACTTTGTTCTCTGGGCAGTTTTCTTGCATTATTTCTTGCCTTATAGCGTACAGGTTTTTTGATTTGTAGTGTTTTGCTTGAAGAACTACAATCCTTAAATCACCTATACATTCTTCCTTTGAGATTGCTATATTTTACTTGTAAAAGCATTTATCATGATTTCTTTTAATGATATTGCTTTCCCCCCTCTTCTAGACTATCTCTCACTTCTGTGTAGCTCCATTCCCAATAAATGATTCTTTCTTTTGTTTCCTTGGTGAGACTTGCTGCCATGGATTCAAGTTTTTCTACTGAATCAATAATTTCTGCTGTGTAGGCATAAATTCTGCTCTCACAATTCTTATTTCTCTTTCAAGTATTTCAAGAACACCATGATGGATTCCATGTTCTCTTGGAAATCCATAGGATCCTCATCTCATCAGGTGTTAATTAATTTTCCTGTCTTACAATATTTAATCATGGATGTTTGGACTCTTCTACCTGATCGAGGCCATATTCCCTTCTGTTATTAATATTTTCCCTGTTATCTGGTTATGCTTAAAGTCTTTCAGTTTTATTCCTCCTGAGATCTTCGGTAATTTCATTCTTTCCCCCGTATTTTTCCCTATTACTCACTACCTGACTTCTTCCCCTTTGATGATGGTTTTCCTGGGGGCTGGATATCAAAGCCATCTCTGCATCTTCCCACATTGGACAATTTGACTCCCCAGCTTTGATCTCTGCTCCAAATGAATTATAGTGGGGACGGAACTGGCCCCAGTTGGATGCTAGGCTCTCTTCCTCAAGCTTAGTAAAATATCACATTTTGTCAACATATGTTCTGCCCCAATTTCTGTGCTCCTCAGTTCTCTCTAGCTGAGCTCTCTCTTCACACTTAGTGCTCATGTGATGCTGTCCCAGTCTGAGCAAGCATGTATTGGGGGAGCAGTAGAATTTTGAATTTTTATTTACAAAACTAGTTTATGGAAAAATATAACTCATGGATACAATAAACCATTAGAAATAAACATTTTTAACAAGAAATAAAAACTAGATTTATGTTCTTAATTTTTAGAAGCTTACCTGTCCAAGGAACATATTCAGGTTCTTTTTCTGGGAGTTCTTCCATTCTATATAAGGTATTTCTACTTTGGCGATACTGACTGGCTGCTTGTAGCATATCCTGGGAAAACAAGAAATTACTTATTTCTGAAAATGGAAATTCAAAACATTTTTGAATTTAAGCTGAAACAAAAAAAATCTAACTATGCTACTAACACCTATTAAGATATGTGTACTTGAAAAAAAAATTTCCTACGCTTTATATTTCTATTACCATAAATTACAGTTTTTTAAAAGAATAGATAAAACCAGAAATGTAAGCACCTTACAAAGAAATTTAATTAAAAATTAAATAGACAGTACTTAGTGCATATGACAGAATATTCTCAAATCGATGTGATTTTATCAATGTGAATGTTCCTTCCAATGACGCTGATTGCAAGTTAGGCATGTCAGCCAAGACTATGCAGCTATTGTCCATGTCCTCAAATAAATTCATCAAAAATGATCTGCCCAAAATGTTGGAGACCTGCTTCACTTTCTCTTGACATCAGGATGCCGGTGGTGCAATCAAACTACCTGTGTGGCATTGCTCACTCTCTTCATGTGACAAGTTCATCTTTTTTTTTCCTGTCTTACTGACATTTTTTATTCCTATTCTTTAAAGTTCTTCACTGTTTATGTGGTATACCCTATTCAAACCCCACATATTGTCGTCTATGCAATATTCATTTTCAATTCTTTCAAAATTAATGCATTGTATGTCTCTCAGTCATACAATAACACTGGTACAGACAATTCTTACTTTACACAAATTCACATTATGCAAATTCACCTTTATGTAAAGAATTGTAAAATATCAGTTGAGGAAAATATTGTTTGCTATTGTCAGATATATGAGGGGAAAAAAAGAGAGTCATTGTCCAAACATGTCTCAAAAGCACCATAAAAAAAAAGTTGCACAGAAAACCAGTAGTGATAAAGGTTAGGGGGTGAAGGGGAAACATTTTGCACACTTATGTTTATTTTACCATATAGTACTATGCAAGCTTTATCATTAACTTTATCTTTCATTTCATAATTCTGTTTATTATCATGGTAGAGTATTTAGTATATCTGCAGTTTAGTACATTTTATGACTTGTATAAAGATATCATTTTGTGTATGTCTTTGTTAAACAGAGAATTGGTAAAGACCTTAGCTTAAAAAGGCCAAGGTCACCACTGCATCCGGGGCCATCTTCAGTTGTCCTGATTTATATCTTGCTACTGGACCCAGGCGGCCCCAGAGGAGAAAGTGAGGCTGGTGACTTTGCACAGCCCTCTCTCACTTAAATCCAATTCACTTACAAGTCATGGCATTACTTTCTTGATGCCATGGTCCTCTTTGAGAATGGAAGAACAAACAAGTGAAATGGGGGTGGGGATGGGGCAAATTTGCGTTACGTAAAAATCACTTTACATAGAGGTCTGCAGACCAGTCCACTTAAAGTGAAAATTGTCTGTATTTTAAAAAGTTAAGCCTGTTTCCAGAAGCCAAGGGTCTTTCAAAGAACTGGACATTTCCTGAAAGCAAGCCTGACTGCTTTCTTCCTCTAGTTTTATTCAAGAGGTTTTATTTATTTATGTTTTTGCTCTCTTTTGATCCTCACAATTCTTGGAGGCAGGTGCTAATATAGCCCCATTTTGCAGAAGGAAAACTAGGTAAAATGTTGAATAACTTGACTAAAGTCACATAGCTAAGTGGGGGCAGCTAGGAAGTACAGTGGATAGAATGCTAAGCCTGAGGTCAGGAAGACCAGAACTCAAATCCAGCCTAAGACACTTAGTAACTGTGTGACCCTGGGCAAGTTACTAAATCTGTTTGTCTCAGTTTCCTCATCTGTAAAGAGGAGATAATAACAGCACCTACCTCCCAGGGGTGTTGGGAGGATCAAATGAGATAATTGTAAAGTGCTTAGCATAGTTCCTGGCACATGGCAAGCATTACATCAATGTCAGCTATTAGTAGTAGTAGGTATCTAAGGCAGGAATCAAACTCTGTTCTTCCTGATTCCAAGTCCGATGCTCTATTCAATACATCACCTAGCTACCTCAAGTTGCCCATTTAATCACATGGCATATCTGTACAATAAACATTCTTCATCTACTTGGTCTTTCCTATTTGCATGGTCAGGCCAAACCTATTTTGGGTGGTTACAGTTCTTTTCTAGTAAGTTCTTTAATATTTCAGGGCTTGATGAAAACAGCACATCATCCACAATCAGGAACATATGAAGGACCTCACTATTCATGGGAAATTCCTCTTAAGATATGTTCTAGATTTCCTCCATCTAGGTGATAGACAGAAACCTCCCTATTTTATGCCTTGACTGAAATTTATGATCAGGGAGTCATTAAAAAGGGCTATTTCTATTGTTATATTTTTTTAAGGACTCAAATTATTTTGCTGTATGGATGCCAGATATCTTACTGAAAGAGAATCTCAAAGGCAATATTATGCTCTATTGAATCAAATGCTTTTTCATAATCAACAAACAATAAACACAGCAAGGATGTATCTTTCTAACAACTTTCATATTGAAGAGAATATTACTGTGGAACTGGGATTCTTGGCCTAGGCTCCAAGGAGTTCTAAAGGTCTGTCTTTAGTAGATTTCATTAACTTGGGGGAGGGGATTATATCTTTATCTCAATATAAATGGTTTCCTTTGTAACACTATGTATTTTATTTTATGAATTTTAAAACATTAGTCTGAAAAGGGGTTCAAGGGCTTCTCTAGGCTCCCAAATGGGTTTATGACATAAAAAATGTTAAGAACCCTTGCCATGGAATGGCACTTGTGAAAGTTTACCTGTTTCCTTCTTAAAACCTCTCATCAAGGATGCCCTTAATTCATGTATAAATGAATCTCAGAAATATTTTGTAGAGATGGGAAAGTAGGCATATTGGTTGGTAGTTGTTGGTGTTGTGTCAGTTGTCTTCATTGGTAGCATTATGAACATAGTAGGTGTTTAATAAATATGTATTATATGGTTCATAACTATTCCCCTAATAAAATTTTACTATGATGCTTAATCTGAGGAGAGGTACACAGCATTCTTAAAAGTTAAGCCAATGGAGTATACATTCAGGAAAAGAGAGTCCTAACAATCTAAAAAAACTTCCAGTATTGCCCAAGACTGTCTTGAGGGAAAGCCTGAGTCTGAGTAGGACGGCAACCTGGTTTCTTGACCTCAGGAATGCATGGACCTATCTACTATACTATGGAAGAGTTATAATCTGCGTTGTGGAAAGAGGGCCCACATAGTAAGGAAATAACAGATTTTTTGAAGTACTGATGCACAATTAATCACTTTTTTTTCCTTTTTCTTTGCTAGGTAATGGGTTAAGTGACTTGCCCAGGATCACACAGCTATTAAGTGTCAAGTATCTGAGATTTGAACTCAGGTCCTCCTGACTCCAGGTGGCTGGTGCCACCTAGTTGCCCCTAATCACTTTTTAAAAAAAAAACTCATTATAATGAATACGTGGCTAAAACCACAAATTCCTGAATAGTTACCAGAATGGAATATCTGGCATCCAACCTTTTCATTTCTTTCCATACTGTCTTCCAAGCCTGAAATGCTCTGTTTCCTCATCTCTGCCTCCTGGCTTCCTTTAAGACTCAGCTCAAATCACATCTTCTACAACAGGCCCTTCCTAGTTTAATATTTTAATTTACTGAAATCTAGACTTTTCATCTGTCCTTTAAATAAGTGTACTGCACTACATTTTAGTACCTTCAGGATGCTGTTCACATTGACCACCACCTGAGCCCATTCAACAGATTCCATTGGGGTATCTTTCAAGATTTGTTCTTCTTGTTCCAATAAACATTCAAAGATGGTATCTATCTGTGATACCTGTGAAAAGAAACACAGAAGACTTACAATGAACATTAAGGTACACATTTTGCCAAGAGACACAGAAAAATACTGTGACAAAATACTGCATATATTTATGTTAAACACCCTAAAAAGCACAGATATGAAAAGGTTATTTCTTTAATATAATCAAAAACACATATTTAAAACCCAAGAGATAGATTTGCAGTGGAGAAGCACTGAAAGTTTTCTCAACACAAACAAGGGTAACATGAAGATAGTACTTTTCTCTACTATTGTCTGGCATAGTTCTAAAAATGTTAACTATAAAAATTAGAGAACAAAATTTAATAAAGGTAAAATGTTAGCAAACATAAAATTACCCCTGTTTTCAGTTTACATGATGATTCACTAAGAAAACTCTAGAAAATTAGTGAAGAAATTGAGATTATTATTAGCTTTATTAAAGTAGCAGGATACAAAAGTTAATTCATAAAAGTCATTAACATATCTAACACTATATAAGTTGCAAAGAAGGTTCCAATCTACATTGGTGGAAGAAGTTTCTCATTAGGAGTTCCCAACATCAAAGAACTCACATCTGTGATTTTAAAAACTTAATAAAAACCAAGAAGAAATCATATTAGAAATTCAATTTAAAATAACAATAGCTAATATTTATATACTGCTTTAAGTTTTGCAAAGCAGTTTACATATTCTTTCATTTGACCTTCACAATAATCCTGAGGCAAATGCTATTATTATGTCAATTTTATAGGTGAAAAAACTAAAGCTGGGAAAGGTTAAGTGACTTGCTTAAAGTTATACAGCTAGTAAGAATCTAAGGCAAGACCTGAACTTAGATTTTCCTGATTTCAATTCCAGCACTCTAGCTACTATACTACTTACCTACCTTATACAATGTATAACGTGCTGGAGAATTAACATCCTAACACACTCCAGACACTGAACACTCCATTTTCCCCCAAGCCTTATGAACTAAACATGTTCTTCATCCTCACTTCCATTCCCTCAACCTCTCGGCTATTTTCCAGGCCATCACCTTTGCATTAGCTACACTATCCTCCCTTCTGCATCTCAACTCCTTGGTGAACTAATTCACGCTAACTTGTCTTCTTGAATCCCTTGATCTTTGTCCTATCACAATCATACTTTGCTAAACCCCAACCCTAGTTTACTTCCACCACATGTCTCTTTTGCTCCTATTCATGAGTTACTGGGTAGAGCTGGAGGAAATAATGAAACCTTACCAAATGGGACCACTACAAATTTGTTATGTAAACTCAATTTGGCTCTATCTTCAGCAAGGCAATCGTTCTACTGCACCCTAATCAATTTCACTTTCCCACAGTCCACAGCAACTATTCTAAATCTTTTTATCTTCCCTCAAGCTTTCACAGTAATTCTTCCCTCCAAACTCTCTGCCATGGAACTTGCCTCATATTTCACCACAAAAAAATGAGGCGCAACATGGTTATCTCCAAATTTTATATCACTCAGGCATCATCTCCCTTTATCTCTCTTTCAATCCTATCTTGGATGAACAGGTGGCCCTTCTCCTTGCCAAGGACAATTCCTCTACACGCACCCTTGATCCTAGCCCTTCTATCTTCTCCAAAAGACTATCGCCATTATTATTTATACTCTTTCCCTAATCTTCAATCTCTATCTACTGGCTCCTTCCCTGTTGCCTATAAACACCCATGCTCCTCCATCTTTAAAAATCCCTCAATTTACCCATCCCTACTACTACCATCCTATTTCACTCCTCCCATTCTTTGCCACATTCTTCAGCTTGGTGCCTCCATTTCCTCTATCATTTGCTTCTAAATTCTCTGCAATCTTGTTTCAAACCTTATCATTCAACTGAAAGTGCCTTCTCCAAAGTTACCAATGATCTCTTAATTACTAAATCCAAAAAACTACCTGCAATCTTTAAAACCATTTATCACCTCCTCCTGGATCTTCTCTCGTCTCAAGATTTTCTTGACACTGCTTGCTCTTGGTTCTCCTCCTATTTATCTGCCTGCTCCTTCTCAGTCTTCTTTGCTGATGCCCACTCACCAAGCGTGTCTTCCAAAGCCTCATGTCTATTCCCTTTATACTATCTCACATACTAATTCATCAGCTTCCATATTCAATCATTACTATTATGCAGATGACTCCTAGAATTCTATTTCCAGCAAGAGTGGCTCTCTTGAGCTCTCCAGTCCTGCATCACCAACTCCCTTTTAACATCTTGATTTGGATGCCCCATAGGTATTTCAAACTCGACACATAAAAAACAGATTTCATTACCTTTCTCCTCAAACTCTCCCTTCTTATTTATTCAAGTGATAAGTATCTTTATATTAAATGTATATATTACATACAGCATGTAATGTACTGTATTATATATTTACATACATAATTACATATATTTACATTATAGCTTTACCAAACAGATAAATACCAAGAAAGATAGCATCTTACCTCTCTAAAAAAGACATCCGCAGGAGTAAGACTTGGCGGAACATCACATTCTCTTTTGCTTAAAGCATTTAAGATAGCAGTATTCACCAGGTCAGAAAGTCTAGAATGATGGTTCTTGAGAACAATGGCAGCCGACAACTTTTCGGCATGTTCACAGAGCAACAGCCGGGTTGCCATGGGCATCCCTCTTAATGGAGAAGTGCCCAGACGGTCAAATAAGCCAACCTTGTAAAAAAGATAGACCACATGCTCTTAGAAAGGATTTGTAGTAACATTTTAAAAATCTAGTTAAATTTTCACCCAGATTGATTTTAAGAAATCTCTTTGATTCTTATCATATCTGACCCTTTTCTAGCCAAGGTCAGGGAGCTCTTATAGGCTTCTCATCCTCATTCTATCAGCAGTATCGAAGAAGTCTAAGGGCAAACTAAACCTGAGGAACCACTTCAGTATTTGTTCTTGGAAATACCCTTTCCTACAACTTGTAGACCTTCTTGGTTCGATGCCTCCTTCTTGCCTTGACTTTTGACATTATCACCTATATACCTTGTAGCAACCAACTTGGCAGTTCTAAATTTCAGGTATATCCTTGACTCAGTAGCATTTACCAAATATTTATTTCTATGAAAGATAATTTTTTTTATATTCTAGCACTGAACAATTCTTATAAGTGAAACTCATTCTGGACACATAACGAAGTTAGATCATATTATATTACTATATTTATTATGTTACTGTATTTCCATGTTCAGTTTAGATTTATCTCAGTAAATTATTTTAATGAAAATAAACAAAAAACATACTTAGATAATTCAACCTATGACATAAAGCAACATGTAACACAAAAGAAAAGAAGAGTAAAACATGACATAGATATAGGCAAATCCTTATGTGAAATTCTTAAAAATTCCTGATTAGAAGGAAGACAGAAAGTTTAGGGGATGAATTGTACAGTAAATATAGCACTAAAGTTCTCTTGCTAGGGCAAAAAGAATAGAGTAAGCTCAAAATTAAAAGGATGTAAAATTCAGGACAAAAAGTCCATAACAAACCCTTAATGATAGAGTAATTTAAAAAAAAACAAACCTCATCATAACTATGTTAATGAATTTGAGTGGGTTTTTTTTTTCCTTTGTAAGGCAACTACTATTTCTTGAAGGAGGCTAATAAATGACTGCGGGACAATTATATCCAGCAGTAAACATTCTTCCTAATCCATATTTAAGAAAACTCCAACCGTCTGACCAAACAAGTTATTTCTTTTTTTTGATGGAAATGGAGAACTGGGTTTAAGTGCTACCTCTGCCACTCATTAGCTAGGTCACGTTGGGCAATTCTCTCTGAACTTGGCCCTTCATACATAAAATAAGAATAATAATATTCATACCAACTGGATAGGGCTGTTGTGAGAACATCTGGTAAACTTTAAAGCATTATATAAACATGACCTTTGTCACATCTTACTTAATAAATCAATTTTTCTTACTTCCCCCTCCTAAATTTCAAACTTATTTTTATGTTATAAAGTTCTTCCCCAAATTTCCAGAATTTTTTCTTCTTAAATACAGAAAATATAGGATATTATTCATTTATGATTACAGATCATGCCTACAATGGCAACACTCTCAATAAAATACATTAAAAGGATTGGATTTTCCATTATCTTCACTGTATGGACTGGAAAAAAATCGTAGTACCTCATGACTATTAAACAGGCAAAAATGGTTTAAAAAAATACAGTAAGACAATGCTGGTGGGATAACTAGAAGACAGGCACATTAGTACTACTGACTACTAAGGGAGTTTTGAATAGTCTAATGACTCTGGAAAATAATTTGGAACTACGTGTGAAAAGTCACTAAATTGTTCATATGCTTTGATCCAATAATTTCTCTATTAGAGTGTGTGTGTGTGTGTGTGTGTGTATATGAAGAGAAAGAGGGAGGGAGGGAGAGAGAGAGGGAGAGAGGGGGAGAGAGAGAGAGACAGAGAGACAGAAAGAACGAGAATATAATCCAGGGAAATCAATGACAGAAATACACACACACACAATTCATAGCAGCGCTCTTTGTGGTAGCAAAAAACTAGAAATAATGGATAAATAAAATCTGGCATTTGAAGTTAATAGAATATTATGCCATAATAAACAATATGAAGAACTCAGAAATTTGGTTAGACTTATATGAACTGACATTGAGTGAAGTAAAAAAGTAGAACCAAGAGAACTATACACACAATGACCAAAATGACAAAGGGAGAAACATTAAAGGACATTAGAACTCAGATCAATGCAATTACTAATCTAACTCAGGGAGCCTAATGATGAAATGTACCTCTCTGCTCTCAGTAGAATGGAGGTAGAGTGTAAGGACTGAGTGGGGTATATGCTGTCAGACACAGTCAATACGTCAAATATATTTTCATATAGTTTATAAAACATATATATATTTATATATAGTATATAGTTTGTTTTAACTGTATTTCTTTGTTACAAGAAAGAGATCTACTGCAGAGGACAGGGAAGGAGGGCAAAGATAGTGGGAAATGAAAGTATTGATTTTTAAAAGCATTAATAAAACATTTGTTTAAAAAGATGTGGTAAACCCACATGTCTCCAGGAGTGTTTTGGTCCTGGGTGTCTAAAGTTCTCAACAATTTAGACTCTTACTTGATGAATAAAATCCATAAGGAAACAATGGGCTTTCATTTTGTCTTCTAGTTGATGAAGAATAATAAGCGATGTATTACTGAATCCTGGCGCTTCTGTTAAAACATAATAATAAAATTTGAATACTAAGTGTGTTCTAGTTTTATGTCATTGCTAATAAAAAAAAGACAAAGAAAAAACCAAGCATTAGGCACACAGAAAGACAACTATTGGTAACATCACCCAAGAATTATAAAATTTAAAGGAACATTTTTGAGACTGAAATATTCTGTGTTTGGACTCTGATTCCACTTTTTTAAACAATTCTACTGCTATCAGGAGAGAGATCCTCCCTCTGATATTTCTGCATAATCATCTCACTAAAAAAGTTTAATCATTTTATAGCACTGAAAGGCTGACATCTATAGAGACGACAAGCCATCAACTGGGAACCAAGTAGGTATACTCAATTTTCTTAATTTTAGCAATGGAAACTACTCAAAAAAAAAAAAACTACAATGCAAACTCTAGCAGTCTTTTATAACGAACAGAGGATAAAGAAGGAGACTCTGATACCAAGAGTTGTCACTTTTGTTGTCACACATGTGATTTATGTCAGCTGAAAACAATAACTATGTTAAATTCATCATTTAGTTCCTGATCATATATGCTATATGTTAATAAAAATTATAGTTAACAATCTACTTTAAGAAATGAAAAAAAATTGATGTAAATATACCTCCCCAAGATAGCATAGTTAGCAGATTTCAGAGCTGATCTGCAAAAATAGATACTAGGCTTAATGTAGTCCAGATATTCAAAAGTAAATTCTATCAAATTTCTACAGTACAAATAACTCCTAAATTAATAAAGCTTATTTCAAAACATAGAAAGATATGGTAAACTACCCAATTCCTTACATGAGCAAATAAGATGTTGATCCCTAAACTGAAAACAATGCTAAAAAAGAAAACCACAGACTAGTGGCACTAATTTATACTGACATAAAATACTAAATAAAATACCTGCAAAAAGAATATAACAGCACATGTCAAAAAAAAACCAAACTATTGGGGTGAAGTAGAATTTATAAGTAGAATGTAAAGATGGTTTCACATGTAGAAATATCACAAACCTTAACACAAGGGAAAAAATAAAAATATGATCATATCCAGTGACACTGGCCTCTCTGTTGTACATCAAAGAAGACACACCATCTCTCAGCTCTGGACATTTTCACTGGTTGTCCCCCATTGCCAGAATGCTCTCCTTCATCATTTACATCTCCTGGCTCCCTTGAAATCACAGCTAAAATCTCATCTTCTAAAGAAAGTCTTTCCCAAGGATCTAAGACATCTCCAAAGGCCTCATGATGGAAAATGCTATCCACATTCAAAGAAAGAACTAAGGAATTTGAATGCAGATTCAAGCATACTATTTGCTATTTTTTTTTTCTTCTGTTGTGCTGTCTTCTTCTGTTCTTTCTGGTGGTTTCTCCTATTGGTTCTAACTCTTCCTTACAACATAACTAATGTGAAAATATGTTTATTAGTAATGTATATGTATAGCCTATATCAGATTGCATGCCATCTTAGAGAGGGAGGTAGGAAGGGAGGGGGAGAAAAATTTAAAACTCAAAAGCTTATGGAAGTGATTGTTGATAATTTAAAATAAATTAATTTTAAAAGTTTAAAATTAAAAAACAAGTCTTTCCCAATCCCAATTCTAGTGACTTCCCTCTGTTGGAATTAGATTGAGCGATTCTAGAGGGCAGGAAATGTCTTTTGCATTTCTTTGTATCCTCAGGGCTTAGCACTGTGCCTGGCACATAGCAAAGAGGCACTTAATAAATGCTCATTGACTATTATGTCTTGTTATTTCATAAATTGCTATAATAGTGGTTACTATTATAATTTTTTTTTTTTTTTGGTGAGGCAATTGGGGTTAAGTGACTTGCCCAGAGTCACACAGCTAGTGAGTGTTATGTGTCTGAGGTCAAATGTGAACTCAGGTTCCTCCTGACTCCTGGGCCGGTGTTCCATCTACTGTGCCACCTAGCTGCCCCTATAATTTTTTTACAAAAGAAAACTAAGATACCCTTCCCTTTCTCAGAATAATAGTAATACCAATGTTAAAACCTTATTTTTAAATTTTCTTACCCTCAGGGACAGATTCAGCCCATCGTGGATCAGAAGCTGGGTAGTCATCCACCAAGTCAACACTGATTTGGGTCACAGCTCTATCTAGTTCAATGTCAGAATCCGAATCAGTATGAGATGAAAACAGTTCATCAACCATGATTTGAGCATGAACTAGATCTTTTCTGTAATAAAATTGGAAAGGTTTTTAAATTACACAGGTATATAAATAATCATTTATTAGATTTCTTTCACTGAAGGCACAAATGTAAAAAGTCAACAGATGCCTAATCCGATTAAGAGAATAATCCTGAAAAAATTAAATTGATTTTATATCATTTTAATATTGATTCTATTCTGTAATTGAACCAATTCTGTATCACTATCCCATTTTGTATGATTGATCAAGGCACATTTGTTTCTTTGCCTATGAGCTAAGTTTAGAAGTTCAGTTCTCCTGTTAATCACTATTCTATTCTTGCCTCAAGGAAATCTATTATCCTTGAGGGATGCAGGTAGACACCAGGGAATCTGGTCTAGTCTCTTTTCATAATCATCAAACAATTAACACAATGGGATCTTATAGTCGCTACATCTTTAATCAAGTCCATGGCTGAATATTGTTTATGAAATCTTGCATGCTCCTTATTAATACCCACCAACGTAAAGATAATGCTCAGGAAGATTTTTTTATAGATGGGAAATTAGGCATATAGTTAGCTTTTTCTGGTTTTAAGTCTGAGAATTTTTCTATAACTTGAATATCTTTCTCTCTTTCTACTACCTTACATACTTATCCCTCAATGCCCTCATAATTTTGTCTCTTCCAGTATGACAGTGTAATAAGGCTGCTTTGTCTATTTTTGTTCTTTTTTGTGAAATTCTTACCATCTCTATAAGCATGCTCAGGACTGTGATACTCAAGTCCTAGTATGATTTTTCCACTTTCTTTGATGATGATAAAAAAGTGTGCTATAGTAATCTTTACAGATCTTTTTCACTTTTCTTCTGTTTATTGTCTTCTTTCCATTTTTATCCCTAAATGTCCCAGGGAATAATTCTGCTTAGTTGAATTTCTAGCCACAATTTCTTTAAAAAAGTTTCACTCTTCAATGATTCTTGGATTTATGAGTCAATATGATTCATATCTGTCTATCGTATTAATTCATAAAATTTTACAAACATGTTCATATTCTAAACTGGTGTTGCCCATGGCTACCATCTCTGCTTGGTAAATAGGTCAAATATTTGCTCTCTAAGGAACTTTCTGAGATCTTTTTTTTTTAACTGTGGTAATATATTTACAATGGTTAAACTTTGGTATAAATTTTTTATAATTAGTGATCATGTAATTTCTGTGGTCCATGTGCAATTTTCATTGCTAATTTTTTAAATTTAAAGTTCTTCACAAAATCTTTCTCAGATTCCCTATAGTGGTGTGGAGGTCATGACCCTAAGGACAGAGAGACGAAAGTGAAAGTCCTTGTCCTTAAGGAGCTTCCAATCTACTGAGAAGATACAACAGGTGCATACATAATTAAAGTATGGAAAGGTGTAGTCCACAATTGAATATTGCTTATGAAAGCTTGCATGTTCCTTAATAATACCTTCCAAAGTATAGACAATACTCAGATTTTTTAATAGATGGAAGAATAGGCACACAGTAAGCTTTTCTGGGTATAAATAAAATCTGAGAATTTTTCCATACCTTGAATATCTTTCTCTCTTTCAGCTATCTTATATATTAATCCTTCAATGCCCTAATAATTTTGTCTTTTCCAGCAGTTTGTCTCCCACGCTTAGAATGCACTCCTTTCTCCCTTAAAATACCTTGTTTCCTTCAAAACTCTGCTCAAGCACTACTTTCTATATGAAGCCTTTCCTGATCTTCAGATTCTAGGGTTCTTCTCCATAAAAAATTTACCTCATATTTAGAAGCAGCTTTGAATATGTATGGCTCCAGCAAGACACTTGAGTGTACATACTCACATATATGTTAATGAGTTTGTGTGTGTGTGTGTGTGTGTGTGTGTAATATGTGTGTGTATGTATATGTTATCTCTACAGACAGAATGTGAGCTCCATAGGGGCAGGGACTGTTTTATTTCTTTGTTTCCTAAGTGTCTAGAACAGTGCCTGGCACATGATAGATACCTAAGAAGTACTTGTTAAATGACTGATCTCATACCATAATATTGATAAGTAGCTGGAAAAAAAAATACCATGAAAAATATTGCAATTTACATACCAACATTAGTTGCTAAGAATAGAGAAGTAGAGAATTCTATAAAGAACTTCCTACCACCCTCCAAATTAAATCTACACACTTAATGACTTCAATAAAAAGGAAGGAAAAGGATAGGGTGGTAAGAAATAGCATGATTCAAGAAAAGTATAAGAGAGACCAAAGCAGTATAGATTACACAGAAACCTCATGTCTTTATATCATGAACATTTTCTTCAAGAAACTAGTTGGTATGTGCTAGCTATGGTATGCACAAACAATATCACTCACAAAAAAGATTATATTTTAAAATACAGGAAGTGAGGATCATCCATAAATAAGTTACCCGTGTATAGTTCAAAACTGTCAGTGCAAAGATCAGAAAAAGCAAGAAGACGAATAATAAAAAAAGATATAATGTACAAATAAAGTAATTCCATTTTCATCTATTTAAACAAGCAATTAGTAATGATATCACCTTTCCCTTTAAAAGAAATTAAACAAAGCCCTCTCAACATTCTGCTCCGAACAACTTTAAAATACTACCTCAAATCAAATTCTGGAGTGGCAGAGTTAACCAAAGGTGAGAGTGAGACATTCTTCCAATCCAAGACAACTCAGAAGTTCAGAAATCGAGATTTATGACACATGGAGGCTGGCCCAGAATGCACATGGATGAAACACCACTGGTAAGACTAGGTGGCAGCCATTGTGCAATGACTAACTTTGATAGATTTAAGCCCTTTTCATCAATGCAAAGATCTAAGACATCTCCAAAAATCTCATGATGGAAAATGCTATCCACATCCAAAGAAAGAACTATGGAGTTTAAATGCAGATTGAAGCATACTGGTTTGCTCTTTTTTTTCCTTCTTTTTTGTTTTGTTTCCTCTTTCTTATGGTTCCTTCTATTGGTTCTAATTCTTCCTTACAACATGACTAATGTGAAAATATGTTATATGTATATGTGCAGCCTATATCAGACTGCGCGCCGCCTTAGAGAGGGAGGTTAGGAGGGAGGGGGAAAAAATTTAAAACTCAAAAGCTTATGGAAGTGATTGTTGATAACTCAAAATAAATTAATTAAAAAAAAAAAAGACTAGGTGGTAGCAACAGAAGCAGCAGCAGCAGCTTCAGGAGTTACCAAGCCAAAGACAGTAAGGGGACTTAGCAACTGGTCAGAAAGAGAGTATAAGGGACTCAGGTGCTAGCACTGGAGGCAGGACTAGACTTTGTTTGGCATCGCCATTGCCTAGGCTCACTTCTGGGTCCATATATCACACCAGCTACAAAGTACCAAAAACTTCTAAACCCCAACAACTAGCACTGAACACAGCAGTGAGAAAAAGCCTGAAGCTTGAGACACTGCCCCTCCACCCCTTACACCTGAAACAAAGCCTAATAATGACAAATTCCAAATCAAGAAATAGGGTGGAAAAATACAACAACAATAACAACGACAAAAGAACCTGACCACAAAAAGCTACTATGGTGACAGGGAAGAAAAACAGACCTAATTAAAAGGTATAAGCAGGGAATTACATTTTACAAAAAGGAACCATAGACAAAGAAGAAATAGCAATACTTAACATATATGTACCAAATGGCATAGCATTCAAATTCTTAAAGGAAAAGTTAAACAAATTACAGGAGAAAGTAGACAATAAAACTATACTAATGGGGGACCTCAACTTTTGCCTCTCAGAGCTAGATAAATCTAACTATGAAACAAACAAGAAAGAAATCAAAGAGATAGACAGAATCTTTGAAAAGATTTCTGGAGAAAACTGAATGGGAACAGAAAGGAAGATATCTTTTCCTCAGCTTACAGGGCACCTTCACAAAAAATGATCATGAATTAGGGCATCAATACCTCACAACCAAACGCAGGAAAAACAAATATTAAATTCAACTTTTAAATACCATAATGTAATAAAAGTTACATTTAATAAAGGGCAATAGAAGCATAGATTAAAATTTAATTGGAAATGAAATAATCTAATCCTAAAAAATGAGTGGGTCGAAGAACAAATCACAGAAACAATCAATAATTTCATCAAAGAGAATGACAAGAATGAAACAACATTCCAAGATTTGTGGGATGCGGCAAAAGCAGTACTTAGGAGAAAATTTATCTCTAAATGTGTACATCAATAAAAGAGAGAAAGAGCATATTAATGAATTGGGCACACAACTAAAAAAAAAAACTGAAAAAGAACAATTAAAAATCTTCAGTTAAACACCAAAACAGAAATCCTAAAAAAATCAAAGGAGAAATCAATAAAATTGCAAGTTTAAAAAAAAAAACCATTGAACTAACAAATAAAACTAGGAGCTGGTTACACAAAAAATAAAACAAAACAGATGTCCATCAATTACGGAATGGCTGAACAAGTTGTGGTATATGATTGTGACAGAAAATTATTGTGTTTTAAGAAATGACAAGCAGGATGCTTTCAGAAAAAACCTGGGAAGACTCATATGAACTGATGCAAAGTGAAATAAGCAGAACCAGGAAAAAACTGTACACAGTAATAGCAATATCATAAGATGATCCACTGTGAAAAACTTAGATACTCTAATCAAGACAATAATCCAAGACAATTCTGAAGGATCCATGATCAAAGATGCTATACACCTTCAGAGAGAGATAAACACTGAATGCAGAGTGAAGCATACTTTTTTCCACTTCATTTTTATTGTTTCATTTTGTTTATTTTTTCTTTCATAATGTGACTAATATGGAAAGAATGCAGAGTGAAGTATACTTTTTTCCACTTTATTTTTACTGTTTCATTTTGTTTGTTTTCTTTTAAAACATGGCTATAACATATGGAACTATATTTTGTACAACTTCACATATATAATCGACATCAAATTGTTTACCTTCTCAAAATGAGGGGAGGGACCTGGGAAAGGAGGGAATCAAATTTTTTTTAAAATGAGTATTAGAATTTTTTTTTTACATATAATTGGGAAATATTTAACAAAATAAAAATAATTTCTAAATTAAAAAAATAAAGGAAATCAGACAGTGGAATCAGAACATCTCTTTAAAATGGCCTAACTCTATCAATGCTTACTTCTTAAATTCTATGGCTACAATCACCACAGAAATTCTCAACTGATAAATATTCTGGTCCTAAAATCAGAAAGACCTGGATTTCAAGTCAGACCTTTGACACATAAGAGCAGTGTGTCATGAACAAGTCACATAACCTCTCAAAGCCCCAGAAAATAAAAAGTGTAAGTTACAGTTGTAGGTCTAATTCAGTGGAAGAAATAGTTGGGAGAATTCCTTACACAAAAGGTTACAAGTTTAAGCCAACCTATTATTCTCTTACTCAAACCTCAAGACCCTGTAGTATTCTGTGAAACCTAAAGGGATAGACATGTCATAAGGACTGTTCATTTATTCAACAGTGAGTGCTACTAAGTGTCGTAAGGAATGCAAAGGCTAATAGACAGAGTCTTATGTTATCATAAGACGTGCACTGCTCCTCATAATTTGTATTCTGAGGTCTCTAGTAAAAAACTCAGGATTTGTTATAAAATGATTTGCCACATTATTATTAGTGTAATCCAACAGAAAAGCACTCAACTGGGAATTAGAAGTCTTAGATTTTAGACCCAGTTATGCCACTATTTAGCTTTATGTCTTTTGGTAAAATCATTGGGCCTCAAGTTTCCTCATCTGTAAAATAAAAGGACTGAACCAGAAGATCCTTAAGGTCTCTTTAAGCTCTGAAATTCAGGGATCCCTTTCCATATTGACCTGGGCTACTGAAAATCTGCCAGAACTTTCACAATGAAGTCACAACATTTTTACAACACATATGGATGACCACATGAAGGAAAAACTAGGAACCACTGCTTAAGGGCTGGGTCTTTTAAAACAGAAAAAGCTTGTCTCATTGCACCCCCTACTGACCAGAAGACTGAACACAGCTATGAAAACAGTATAAAGGATAAATACAAAAAAGCAAGAACTTTAGAAAGATAAGTACATCAGAATGCTAGTCCAGGGCTTCCCAAATTTTTTTTAGGAGGGTGAGGGGGGTAAGAACGGGAGAAGGGAGAACTATTTTTCATTTTCTAGAAACCTTGAAATCACGAAGGTATGTCTTCAAACACGTGTACATACTAACGCTAAAAGCTCTGACCAGTACAAAGAAGGGGACAGAATTGACTACTGTGCTCCTTCTCTCCTGAAAATCCCCTCATTCACTGAGAGGGGCACATGGGGCAAGGTATAATAATAGTAATTGGCTTGGGGAACTACCAAGTAAGGTTCTCAGATCTAATACATCTAGTAGTTCCTAACCTACTGGCAAGAAACCCTTGATCTAGCCCAGAGATCTTATTTTACAGACAGCAAAACTTAAGTTGAGAGGTTATATTTGCTCAAGGTCACATACCTCACTAGTGACAAAGCCAGAATTAGAATCAAGAATCAAATATATTCACTAAAAAAATCATCACTCTAAAGACCATTATTTCATATTCCTCCTAGGAAAGAAAACAAGTTTTTTTTTCAATTTCACATTAAAGTACATTAGATTTCGCCTGGTTTTAAGATATGCATAAATAGACCACTCTTACCCTACAACATTGCAAAGTTCAAAGTCACACCTCAGTGTCACTAGCAAAACCTCCAACTCCAACCCTTTGAGGGTCTGTTATAGGATTGATCATAAAATTTTGAAGTGGAATAGACCTCAGCATTCACCTGCTTTAAAATGTTCACATTTAAGAGACAAAGAGGATGAGGAGCAGAAAAGCAAAGAAACTTTTCCAGGGTCCTGTGAATTCCAAATTCATGACTTTCTTCTTCACCCTGCCTTTTCAACTTGCTAAGCTTTTTTTTTTAAGTGGTATACTGAAATAAAATTTATCCTTAGACTTATAGTCATGCTTCACAAGTATTTTATACCTGCAGTACTGGAGAAAAGCAGCTTTTAGCAATCTTGTCTTGTCTTCTTGTGCTATGACATCCATTTTTGTAGCGTTTTCAAAAACTGGACTCTGGAATAACAAATTATATTTTGGAGATGGAATCACTAAAACATTTAAAGCTGTTGGAATAAATAACTAGATACAGATTCACAACAAAAAATAATGCCCAAACACGTGCAGAACATACCTGTAGGTTTATTTGAGTTCTTTATAAAAGCAAACTAAGCAATACCAATCTTAATTTAATTTGATAATCATTTATTAAGAACTTACTATATGCCAGGAACTATGCTAGTTGACAGAGATACAAAGATAAAAACAGCAGTTGCTACTCTCAAAGTGCTTCAATCTACCAGTGGGGATATATCTGATAAGAAAGTGCTGGGACAAACTAAGAGATCACAAATAGAACTCTAGGAAAATGAAGGAGGTAAAGCTTTCAGCTGGAGGGATTAGAGAACATACCCTAAACTGAGCTTAAATGAAAATATAAGATTCTAACAGGCAGAAAGGAGGAGGGAGGGCATTCCAAAAAGGCACCATGGCAAAATGTGAGATTTTACAAAAAGAAATTGAAGACTTTGCTTTGATATTTACTTTCTGTGTGGCCTTGAGAAACTCACTGTACTTCTCTGGGCCTCATCTGTAAAGCAATATGGTCAGACTAACTGATTACTTACATCCCTTCCAGCTTTAAAGCTATAATCCTATGGTTATTCTAGGCATAAAGGATGGTCAGTGTGAAGGTACAGAGACAATACAGAGCACTTCAAGTTCAGGGAATAGTTAGTTTGGCTACAACAGAGTACATGAAGAAAAGAAATCATGAATAAGGCTGAAAAGGTAGGTTGGAACTAGGCTGTGTAGGACCTTAAATCTCAAACTTTTTTTTCCATATGACTATAAATTGTTTTGATTTCCTCATTGGAAAACTGCGTGTTTATATCCTCTGATCATTTATCAATTAATAATTAGAGAAATAAAAATTAAAACAACCTTGAGATAGCATTTTACACCTACCAGACTGGCTAAAATGACTGAAGGGGAATGTGACAAATGTTGGAGGGGATGTGGAAAAATTGGGACACTAATTCATTATTAGTGGAATTGTGAACTGATCCAACCATTCTGGAGAGCAATCTGGAATTATGCCCAAAGAGTTATTAAACTGCCTAAACCCTTTGACCCAGCAATATTACTACTAGGTCTATTTCCAAAGAGGATTAGGGAAAAAGGAAAAGAACTTATACATTCTAAAGTGTTTATAGCAGCTCTCTTTATGGGGGCAAAGAACTGGAAATTGCAGGGATGCCCATCAATTGCGGAATGGCTAAACAAGTTGTGGTACATGATTGTGATGGAATACAGCTGTGCTATAAGAAATAATGAGCTCAATGATCTTAGAAAAACATGGAAAGACTTGCATGAAATAATAAAGAGTGAAACGAGCAGAACCAAGACAACACTGTATATAGTAACAGCAATATTATTTTAAGAAAGACTTTGAGAAAATAAGTCATTCTGACTATTATAAATGCCCGAATTAACAATAAAGAACATATGAAGATGCCATCTGCATCCGGAGAAAGAAGTGATAAATAGATGTATAGAATAATTTATACACACACACACCCCCCTCTATTTTTGTCTAACGGTAGTGATCTCTAGGGTGGGAGAGAAAAAAAAGGAAATTTATATGATAATATTATATATTTTATATGAATAGTAAGTTGTACATAACATATTTGCAGTTTCATGTGCAATCATCTTTTTTATTATACTGTGTTATGGAAATGGTTGTTTTATTCCACAAATTAAAAATAAAATAAATTTCTAAAAAATATCAAACTTAAGAGTTATGATTTTATCCTCCAGGTCAGAGGTGTTAAACATGTGGGCTTCTGGTTGGCAACACTCCAGGGTGCAGTCCAAACCAAATTAAAATGTAACTGGGAAATATTTAACAAAATGAAAATACTGTAAAATATAGATATTATATTTTAAAACTAAAGTCAATATGTGGCGGGATCCTTATGCAGTTTGGTGGCCTCTATTTCTATTTGAGTTTAACACCAATGCTCTGTGTAGCAAGTTCTAGTGGACAACAACTTCAAAATCAGTCAACAATGTGATATGAGCAGCAAAACAGATGTGATCTTAGGCTACAAAGGATCCTGGTGCCCAAACTAGAAAGACAAGAGTCTCATTTTATACTGTCCTAGTCATGGAGTACTGTGTTCAGTTCTGGGGGCTACATTTTAGGAAGGACATTGATAAGCAAGAGAATATCCAGAGGAAGGTGCTCAGGATGAAGAGGACGACCATGAGTATGCAGTGAGAATAACTGAAGGAATTGAGAATGTTTTGCCTGGAGAAGAAAAGATTTACGGAGGACATGAAAGCTATCCAATTATCTGAAGGGGTATTAGAAGAAGGATTATACATATGCTCTGAACCTCAAGAGGGTGGAAAATAGGAATGAGTGAAAGTTGGTGAGAAGCAAATTTAGACTTGCGGTAAGGAAAAAAAATTCCTACCATTTAGAAATAAAGGTGGGATTTGCTGTCTTGGGAGGCAGGTGGTTTTCCCATCATAAAAGGTTGACAAGAAAATACAGAATGACTACTTCTTGGGTATTTTTATAGAGCGGTTTTCTGTTCATCTACAGGTTCAACTAGTGGCTTCTAAGGTTCCTTCAAATTCTGAGTTCAGTCAACTTGTGATCTGAGCAAGTCAGTGATGTGATCAGAACCCTGCACTGGGAAGATTACTCTGAATGCTATGTGAAGGGTTTAATGGGGAAGTGAATAGGTAGGCATCTGTTGTAGGCATCTGTAACAACAGCCTACGTAGATGATGCAAACTTCAACCAGGGCAGTGGCAGTAAGAGTAGTGTAGAAGATACAGGTGCAAGAGATGCTGTGAAAGTATAATCAACATAATTTGGCAAACGATGGCTATGGAGGATGAGAAAAAAGGGGAGAATCAGAAATAACTCTGAGATTTCAATCTGGGAGGATTGTGGTATTGTGAAGAAAAAAAAGAAGTTGGGAAAGTAGGTGTAGGGCAAATGATGATGACTCTGGCTTTGCATGGCCTGAGGTGTTAGGAGGTGCAGGCCTGAATCTTATTTAAGGAATTAGGGTAGGATATAAAGATTTGGGAGTTGCCTGTGTAGAGGAGATAACTAAACTTGTAGAAACAAATGAGGATATCGGGGAACGCTAGGGCAGAAGAAATGATGAGAAAATAGGGCAGAGCTCTGGGGTAATAATCGCTTAGATGGCAGGAGGATGATGAATCAACTTGGCAAAGGAAACCAAGAAGGATCAGTCTTTTTGAAAAAGATAAACTAGGGGACAGCTAGGTGGCGCAGTGGAGAGAGCACTGGCCCTAGAGTTAGGAGGACCTGAACTCAAAGTCAGCTTCAGACACGTATTTCCTAGCTGTGTGACTTTGGGCAAGTCATTTAAACCTAACTGCCTCACAAAAAAAAAAAAAAGATAAACTAAAGTACTACAAAAGAAATTCAGACATTTTAAGGACATAGGTCATGTTTAACATCATTACTTACACTCTTTTGTGACAGACTAAAGAATAAAGAAACCATTATTTCACAACACATAATTACCTTTTTTGTTTATCACAAACAATATTATAAGCCAAATTATTCATCATAGTTATTGTTACCATTGTCTTAAGGTTTTTTGTTGTATAATATATATAATACATTGTGTTCCACTGAATATCAAAATTTCTTTAATTTCTAAGTTTAAATAACACTCATTGGTCTAAAGGTCTAAAGCATGGTCTAAATAATACTCATTGGTCTAAAGCATGTCTAAAGGGAAAAACATAATCCAAATATCTCTACTTTGCCAAATAAACTTTTAAATTTTAAATTGATTAGATGTTTTATATTACATAGGCCTGGCTTTTGTTTTTTTCACTAGAAGTATAAAAAATGGTGAACTAATCCAAACTATTCATTATTTTTAGTCTTTTCATATAATATTGACAATTCACTTGAGAGACTATATAATACCTCATTATTTGGTCCAGCAACTGAAGAAGCCAAGGAATCCTCAAGGTCTTCTGGTAATACTGAAACATTTTCCCTAGAAACAATTGCCACTAGTCCACTGTTCCTAGAGAAAAAAACTGGAAGACCAGCACAGGAACCAGCTCCCAAAATACTATCTCCTAAAAGAAAGAAAGACATAATGATAAAGGTTATGTAACAGAAAGGAAATATTTTTCACAAAATATTTTATAGTTCATAAATTTTCCTTAATCACAAATAAAACTTCACCTGCTAACCATGATGTAATCAATTAAACATTAATGAAAGGTATTAAAAAACTTTTAAAGATAATTATATTTCAAAACTTATTTTTTCCTCTTTAGTATTTCTGCAAACCAACACTCCAGATCTTTGAGGCAATGAAATGGGAAAGGCGATGGACTGAGAATTAGCAGGGATGCTGGACATGCTGGTGCACACCTAGAAAACCTGCTAATTTGGGAGGCTGACGGCAGTCAATCTCTTGAATTTGAGAGTTGTGAGGTATAGTGTGCTAAGCCAACTGGGTGGCTGTACGATGTCAACACAAAGCCCGGAGAGAGAAAAACCAGTCCAGGTCCGAAATAAAATAGGTCAAAGCTCCCAACCCAATCAGTAGTGGGATCAGGTCTATGAGTAACCATTGTATTTTCAACCTAGACAAGAGGAGACCTGGTCCTTAAAAAAAAAAAAAGTTTTAATTAAAAAAAAAAGTCTATAGAACCGAGTTAAAATCTGGGTTCCTGACAATTATTAGTGTGACCAGGGCTAGTCACTCCTATGAATTCAGTTTGCTCATCTTTAGCATGATGATAATAAATAACACTGGTGTTACTTACTTCTTAAGACTGCCGTAAAGCTAAAAGCACCATATAAATATTGTTTTTCAAAGTAGAAGAGGCAGTTTGGTGCAACACAAAGAGCCCTGGGGAAAACCTCCAGTCAGGGAGCCCTGGCTCTCATTCTGGCTCTTCCACCAATGAGGTCTGCTGTATGATTTTATCCAAGTTGCTTAACTTCCTGGGACTTCAATTTACTTCTCTGAGAAATTAGGGGTTTATTTTAAATCACCTCTAACATTTCTTCCTAAAAGTCATAATGGTGGATATAAAAAGCTGGTTCTGTGTCCTTCCTTCTTAAAGATGATCACACTACTACAGTAACAAAAAAGATAGCAAGTTGATATATAGTGCCTTATGGCAAAGTGGGGGTCTTGGAGACTGGGTATGCAGAATTTCATAGAATTATGGACTCTACTTTCCAATTTTATCCATCTTGCCAAAAGTAATTTGATAATATTTACATAGTACCTACCATGACCAGACCACTGTAATAGGCTTTCTTCACCTCTTATTTATCAGTTTCTTTCCTAGCTGCTTCTTTCCTCTAGAGAAAATATTATTATTTTCTTCCTCTTAACAGCATGAAAATTTTACCACAGCTTCCCCCCCCCCCCCCAAGTAAAAGGGTGACATCCATTACGGAAGTAGAGATAAGTGTCTTGTAAGCCTTTGAGGACACTATATATGGAGAACCATTAGACTAAAAAATAAAGTAAAAGAATGGTAAAGATGATTAATAAGTATAAGTCATGCTTCCTGTAACTACTACTTTTACCATGAGCACTGAAGATAATTTTCTCTTGAGGTAATGAACATCTTCCAGTTCCTGTGGAACAGGCAAAGACAGCATTTTCACCATAGAGATAGGCAGCCTGGTTTGAAAAATCAGGGACCAACAATCGGGACATCACCAGTTCTTCAGACTGAATAATTTCATTTAAGATTCCAAAAAAGCAAAGAAAAAGAAAATTACCTTTTTTGTGTGCTTAGCTACCTATTTCGTGTTATATGTGAATCTATACAAGAACAAAATATTTAAAAATTTAAGCCTAAGTCAAAAAGTCACTTACAATAAATGAGCCACAGACAACTTCAAAAATAAGTTTATACACAAGTGTACAGGAAAAAATACCATTTATAACCAGAAAATCTAAAAATTAATTCTATCAGTAAATAATAGCTGACAATCATAAAGTACCTGAATGTATATTGTGCTTTACAAATATTACTTCATTTGAGGATAACAAAAATTCTCTAATGTAGTTTGCTATTATCCCCAATTTACAGATAAGAAAACTGAGGGTGTCTGAGGCAAGATCTGAACTACAGTCTTCCCAACTGCAAGTCCAGTGCTTTATGCACAGAGTCACCTAGCTGCCTAATTCCTAGATAGCAAACATAAGCATTATCCTCACAATTTTACAGGTGAGGAAATTGAGGCACAAAGGGGGTAAATGTAGGGAGCCAAAATTTGAATGCAGATCTTCCTGACTCCAAGTCTAACACTAAAATCTTCTAGTAAATGTGAGTTTTTTTTTTAAATCAAATAATTCAAAATATTTAATATAATTTAAAATAATTAATTTATTGATTTAATTTAGAACTGACATTAGCATAGGACATTTTTATTCTTATTTCCCTGGCCAAAAACCTGAGGCACAGGAAAACTAAGCAACCTGTCCAAGTTCATACAACAAGTCAGTGACAGAATTAGAAACAAAACCAGGTTGATTCTCAATCAATCACTAATCCAAAGGATGATCAAATTATCAGATGAGCTATTGTTGTTTACAGGCAACATTTTGCTTTCTAGTTTTACATAAGGTATTAAAATATGTTAGGGTTTTATTAAACTGATTCTATAATAAGAATTCAAATTTTGAAAAAGTCTCACAAAATGCATGGTTTAATATTTTAGCAATTTTCATATGAAAGTCTTTAAAAACTAAATGAAAAGACTATAGTACACAATTTAATTTACACTGATAAATTTTGACTTTAATGGTCCTGACTTTTGATGGCTTCTGCTAGAACTTTCATAAAGGTCTGGTTCTGCTCCTATTTGTCTGATCACGGCTCAGTCTCCTTTCTCATGATGCCTGTCCTGGCCTCTCTGGTAGAATGTACCTTACAGCTCCACCCTGGGTCCTCTTCTCTCATCTCTAACCTCTCTCTTTTAGTGATTTTAACAGCTCCCACAGGGTTGGGCTGTCATCTCTGTATATATGACAAATCTACATATTCAGCCCCTAGCTCTCTCACCTGAGCTCCAGGCCTGAGTCACCAAGTGACTCCTGGATATCTCTACCTAAATGATCAATGACCATCTCAAACTGAATATGTTCAAAAATAGAACTCATCTTCTCTCCAAACCAGAAGTTCTTGATCTTTTTGTGTCACAGAACCCTCTAGCAGTCTGTTAAAGAGCCCCTCTCAAAATAATGTGTTTAAGAACATGAAAATTACATAGAGAAAACCACTTACACTGAAATACAGTTATCGAAGTAAAAAAACAAAACAAGTCCACAGACCCAAGGCTAAGAACCCCTGCCCTAAACTCACCCTTCTTCCCAACCTTTCTATTTCTGTAGAGGATATGACCATGTTTCCAGTCACCCAAGTTCTTAACCTCAGTCATCCTGACTCTTCACTCTCTCATCTGCCACACTAAATCAGATGTTGAGTCTCATCAACTCTATCTCCAAAACATTTCTCACATTCCTCTCCTTTCTCTATTTGGCATTTAAAGCTCTCCCCAACTTTTCCAGTCTTCTTACACCACTCCCCTCCACAAACTCCATGATCCAGTCACAATGGCCTACTTACTCCCCCATAACCATAACACTCCATTTTCCATCTCCATGTCTTGTACGTGGTGCGTCCTATGTCCAGAATGCTCTGCTCTCACACATCTGACCTTTAGTTCCCCAGCTTGCTTCAATATTCAGCCTAAATTTCATTTTCTGCAAAAGGTCCTTCCACACCCTGCCAACTTTCAGCACTTTCCCCTCTCAGATGACTTTGCACCTACTTTGTAAATAGTTTGCACATATCAAGCTATTTACATGTTATCTGTCTGAATATCACATAAAATGCTAAATAGTAAGGCTTATTTTTGCCTTTTTTTCCCTATCCCCAATGTTTAGCACACTATGATAAATGCTTGACTGACTAGATCGCCTCAGAAGTCCCAACAAACTCCAAGACTCTGTGATGTGGAAAAACAAAGATTTAAAGCAACAAGAGGCAGGTTTTCAATATTTTTAAACTAAGTGCATGAATATTTTCACCATCATTCAAAACAAAAATCACTGTAATTGTGTAATTCCAGGCTGATGATTTAAATAAAATTCCATACAATTCCTTACCTGAAAAGGTGGATTATACTGGGTAACTTCAACAGTAACTTCCCCAGAGAGTTGGTAGCCAGTGTCCTCTACTGTTATTAAAGAATAATACGTGAGACATGGACTATCTCCTGGGTGCCATGCTGATGCTAAAATCACGAGTCCATCACTATTCAATTAAAGAGAAAAAAACCTTCAATAGAATACCCAATCAGTCCTATAAATTCATTTATTACTATCTAGGGAAGAGAACACACAGCAATGGTGATTATTTGTTCAAGTCTGTGAAGTTTCTACTTAGCTGTTCATACCTCTTACCTCAGAAATTCAGGGTATCTTTTTAATCAATTACACAAATTTAAGCCACTGATTCTTCTGATTCGACACTTCCTGAACTAGCAAAAGAATCTTATTTCTTGCCCTCCCACCCCTAACATCCATTGGAAACACTAACACTTCTATTCAATGGTAAAAAAAAAAAAAACAACAAAACAAAAAGGCAACTTCTCACTAACACCAAAAATAAAATAAAATATAAAAATGAAAGAAAAGAATTACCATCCTTTACAAAACAGCACTGAATCTGAAATGAGTGAAATGCCTGACAAAAGTATCTGACTGCACTAGTAAACAAGTTCTGTGAGGTTTTATTTATTTATTTATTTATTTTAGTGAGGCAGTTGAGGTTAAGTGACTTGCCCAGAGTCACACAGCTGGTAAGTGTTATGTGTCTGAGGTTGGATTTGAATTCAGGTCCTCCTGACTTCAGGGCTGGTGCTCTATCCATTGAGCCACCTGGCTGCCCCTGTGAGGTATTTTCTAAAGCACACTTTGAGAATAAGAAATCCTAGTATGTATCTTAATTATAAGTCACACCTCAAATAATCTAAATTTTTCCAAGCTATATAAAATACAGGCATTTTCCTTATGAAAATTTTATATTCTAAAAAATGGATTTGTAAGTCAGCTATTTGGAACTCATGAAACATTTCCCATAAAAACAATATTATAAATGGTGGTTACCATCATAAAATCACAGATTAGATCGAGTTGGAAAGATGTTAGAGATCATGTAGCCTAGCCCCTTTGTTTACAGACGAAGCCTTGAGAGGGGTAAAGAGTTTGAAGTTTATCTGTGAAACAGAAGTGTCAGAATTTGAACCCAGGCTCTCTGATTCTAAATCCTGAGCAATGTTTCCTATGATACACCATTACTAAAAAGCTAGCCCAGATCTGTCTATAGAAGACAGTCTGGCTGAACTTTAGTACTTGAACAGTACTTTTATGTGAAATGTCACTTTGAGTTTCACGTTGGAATACAATTATATTTACTCCCCTTCTCTTCCACACTAAGAGAAGGAAGCAGGCACAGCACTGCTGAGACTGCCTGCAACACTGGGAAATGTGAATAAGAAAAGGATCCAAATACCTCCAGCGACAGTGTTACTGTTAGATGAGTCTCTGTTGGTTGGTGTGACCAGAATGTTTTTACAAAGTTGGATATTCATGTCAGAGACTAACAATGCACAAAATGTGGAATCAAAAAGACCATTCAGCTAGATAAAATATGGAACATGTGGAAAGGGAAGAGGAAAAAGAAAGGGAAAGAATGCTCATCATTTTACAATAGCATCACTGATCTTTACAAACTGCTACTATCCTTTCTTCCTTGTAAAAATTAACTGCTTACCAATTCTGCTGCAAATCCAAGTATTCAATGTTGATACCCCCTTTGATTTCTTCATAATTACTTTCTGACCCCTAGAGCAAGACATGGATTACAATAATAAACATAATTAAATTTTTAAAAAACAAACAGGTTAATCAATGATCGAAGTGTTCCTAGATTTTTGTTAACTGAACATTATTCTTCGATTTTGTGAAAGTGACTTGTATGTACTCTTGTACAGAAGTGCTACATGGTGAGGTGCTCTATAGAAGTGCTACATTCTCTTTAAAGATAAAGAGAATCAAAATTAATTTTGTTTTGAGAATTTTCAGATACTCTAAAATAACTGGAGGCAACTTCCTCTTAGGAGAAGGACTATCAATAGAGAATGGTGCAGAGGTTGCCAAACATAGTCACTACATCGCTTATTTTTGACTCTTTTTCTTTATTACAAGAAGGTTCAATGCCTGGGGGTAGAGGGTGTTGGGGATATACAGAAGTGAATTATGTAAAAACAAAAGGTAACAATAAAACATTTTTTAAAGATAAATAAAAGCAATGCAAGGTGTCAGTCACAAAAACAAAGCTGAAAAAATCCACTGGAGAACAGTTTCTCCCTTACCCAAATTGCATCTGTGATGTTCTCCTTAAGGGCTTTATTTATGTCCCAACTTTGGCCTTGTCTTTCTGAAGTATTGTCTATTTCCCATTTGCTTAGGGTTGAACTTGTGAGGGTATAATAACTCGCCTTCTCTTTATCCCAGAGGACACCGGAAAGCTGTAGAGAAACGTCATTCTTAAGTCAGTTATATGAAATACAATTTTTATCACAAACTCCAAATATATTATGGTTTTTGGCTATTTATATAATTCCAGCACAATCATTTCTGAGATAAGACCTTATAAAAGGGGGGCAGCTAGGTGGCGCACTGGATAGAGTACCAGCCCTGCGGTCAGGAGGACCTGAGTTCAAATCTGATCTCAGACGCTTGACACCAGCTGTGTGACTCTGGGTAAATCACTTAACTCCAACTGCCTCACCAAAAAACAAAACAAACAAACAAAAAGATCTTATAAAACTACAGCTTTCAGAACTGTATAGATTTACTTTGGTAATTAGAAATTTGGCTTTTAACCAGTATTTTAACTTAGGTTTTAACTTTTAACTCAGGTATTATGGTTATTATGTACTTAGAACAATAAATAAATATCTATATGTATAATAATTATTAGAATCTGTTAGAGGTAACAGATTCTATAGTCAACTTTAAATATATTTTTATTAAAATAATTTTATTTTGGGGCAGCTAGGTGGCACAGTGGATAGAGCACGGGTCCTGAAGTCAGGAGGACCTGAGTTCAAATCCGGCCTCAGACCAAACACTTGACACGTACTAGTTGTGTGACCTCGGGCAAGTCACTTAACCCCAATTGCCTTACCAAAAAAACAAAACGAAACAAAAAAAAAAGAAAAAAAATAATTTTATTTTTAAGAATATTATAAATTTAGAATATGGTTTTAAAGTTATACAAAATACTGATAGATATAACATTTGGTCACTTTGATGGCCTATGCAGATGAGTCCTTAATAAATATTATTTGATGAGGATTCAGAGTTGTACTTCTTGAGTGATTCTATAAGACTGTACTACTACTAAAGAGAAAAATATATTAAGTCATCAGAACTTTAGATTTAAGTAGAAAACTTATTAGTCCTTTTTAAAGTCCTTTTACCTTCATTTTTCAAACTTACTGTGTGGTCACTGCTGGGAGATAAAATTCCTAAAAGAGAAGAAACTCTTCGACCAATTCCTGAAAGCATGCCTTGACCCTGTGGAAGGACATGTTGATGAATCTTGCTTAAGTTATCAGGTATCAATCGAATTAGCTGGGTCCTTGAAGAGGCCAAAATAAAGCTTCCACCCTAAGAAAAAAGTAACACTGCAATCAAAATAACTTCTAACATGGAAACTTTCGAAGAAAATGAATAATAATTAAAAAAATGCTTTCCACAAGCAAAATCATATGCATCCTAAAACTAATTTTTAAAGTATTAAAAGTGAAAAGTCTTGTTGTTTTTGTCAAAATACATAGCAGCTCACACAAATTTTGCAGAAAAAAAAGATTTTCTGCATAAAAACCCCCAATTTCTGAGTCATAATCTCTATTTTTGTAAAGATTGTTCAATTATAAATTTAATACATCAATGATTAAATCTAATGATAATATTGTTAAGTTCACTAATCATAAGGAAAAGCTATTCTTCCAAATTTATACTGTGACTTCTAGTCACCTGATAAAAATAACCTGTTCCTCCAAAATGCTGTTTAAAACAATCCCAGCCTATCATGTGTTAGAATTCTATTATAGTATTCACTCCCCATACTAACAGGTCAAGATGTAGGCTTGAATTGAAGCCTTTCCCCAGACTACCTCACTGCTTTTCTTTCTTCTGCTTTCCTGGCATATCTGGTCTGATCAGTGGTCTCATTTTTCAACTATCCAACTTATGTCTCTCAGATGCCCCACATACATTTCTGACACAAAGGAAAATATGCACCATACCTGCACAGCTGTCAGAAAACTCCACACCTTGTCTATACTTCCAAAGTCGACAGCAGTCTCTACATAGCTGTCTTCATGCACAAGGCTGGGCCAATATCGAACAGATCCTTCTCTGGTGGCAACCATTACTGCCACAGACTTGAAATTAAATTATATTAAAACACACTTAGCAATTATAATATATAGGAAAACTTCTGATGTAATGATTTCAAAATGTTGACAAAGATGGTAGTTTATAATATGAATACTGGAAAAGGTTAAATAAAAGCTGTGTACATATTTTTGCTTTTGATTCAGACTTGTGGCTTTGCAGAGAACCCCCTGAGTGGAAACTCCTTCCATCAATTCTAACTTAAGTCAGGAACACTTTGTTATTTTTTTTAAATAATATTTCACTTTTTTCCAATTACACGTAAACATAATTTTTAACATCCATTTTTTTTTAAACTTTGAGTTCGAAATTTTCTCCCTCCCCTCTAAGATGGTAAGCAATTTGATACAGGTTATATACACACAATCATGAAAAACGTATTTCCATATTAATAGTCATGTTGTAAAAGAAGAAACAGACCAACAACAAAAAAAAACCCATGAAAAAATAAAGTGAAAAACAGTATGCTTCAATCTGTATTCAGACTCCATCAGTTCTTTTTCTGGAGGTGGACAGCATTTTTCAAAATGAGTCCTTGGGGACTGTCTTGGATCACTGTATTGCTGAGAAAAGCTAAGTCATTCACAGATGATCATCATACAATATTGTTGTTACTGTGTATTCTCCTGGTTCTACTCACTTCACTCAGTATCAGTCCATGAAAGTCTTTCCAGGTTTTTCTGAAGTCTGCCTGCTCCTCATTTCTTACAGCACAATAGTATTCCATTACTATCATATACTACAACTTGTTTAGTCATTCCCCAATTGATGAGCATCTCTTCAAGTTCCAATTCTTTGCCACCCCAAAAAGAGCTGCTATAAATATTTTTTGCACAAACAGGTCCTTTTCTCTTTTTTTTTGTCTTTGGGATACAGACCTAGTAGTGGTATCCTTGGATCAAAGGGTATGCACAGCTTGATTTGCTCATTGGGCACAGTTCCAAACTGCTCTCCAGAATGTTTGGATCAGTTCACAACTCTACCAACAATGCATTAGAGGAACACTTTAAGTTTGATTTGTTTAATAAATGTTTATGTTATTTACCTGAATAGAATGGACTTTACAGGTTGCAGGGTGGGAGAGGGCTACCAAATCAGCACTCCACGGGAAATCACTGGGTGGTAGCTGAAGTTCTTTGCAAACCGATAACTGTAAGAAAGTACCAAAATATATGACTCCTCTGATCAAACAGAAATATACATGAGATTTCTGTCCTTTCTCTTCTGTTCTGAACTCTGATCCACTGCTCAAAATTGCTACATTACACACGTGCCAAGTGAGTCAAACTTTGTTACCACTTCCCTTTACTCCTTAAGGAAAACAGGCCCTTCACCTCAAGGCCAGGAGTACCCTCTCAGACGCCATCCACAGAGGTATCCTGGGGAGATGGGGCCTGGCAACCTTGACTTCAGCCCTCACCTCCTTAGCAGCCATAGCTCCTTGAAGATCCAGACAAGTTTTCCCCACAGTCCTTGGCTCTGTCATATGACTCCATATCAGAAACTCTAGAGTTTTACTCATGAAAATAACACTAAGAAAGAGGCATTATCATCTGCTTTGCCACTACATCCTTCTAAGGACCACTGAGCCCTGCAATCAGACTTGCAGCTGCAATTGGCCCCACTAGACCGTGAACTCCTTGAGGGCAAGCCTGTTTTACTTTTCTGTTTGTATCCCCAGTACCTCACAGTGCTTTGCACATAGAGTTTAAAAAATGCTTTTTCATTTATTCTTTGCAGTTTAAATTACAAAATATTTTTTAAAATCCAACTTTCATCTTACTATTATTATTTTAAAACAAAGTAGCTCAAAGAAATAACTAAAGAAGTATGTTAGCCACTATAACAACTGCTTGGCTACTGTAATTATTTCCTTTTCCTTTAAAAATTAACTAGTGTCTTCTCAGTTGGTTTGTTTGTTTGCATGTAAAGTTAATTCTTAATTATTATTTAATTTCACGCTTTTGATTGTCTCTTTCCTGTCTCTCTTGGCTAGGCACCAAGAATTCTTCCTAACTTGTTTAGTGGGACCGTTTGCCCAATGATACTATTTCCATGATAGCAAAGAAGTCATCTAACTTTGAAAGCAGTGGGCAGAAAGAAGTGAAGCCACATGAGTAATGTATGAGAGGAACTACAATAGTCAGAAAGTCAGGAGCTATGGATTACCTTTACATTTAGACAAATTTATGCTCCCTCTGCTATTAGAATGGCTTTAAATTACCTTTAAAATTTTATTAAACATTGTACAATATCTTTAATAGCTCCAATCCTATGGCAGGTTTTTTCTAGTTCTTACGTGAGAAGGCTTTAAAATCCTGGCTGAAAGACAGTGGAATCGGTCCAGCCCTCTTAAACAAATCTGCTCTCTTCAGTCTATCCTGCTCCATTTCCTATAAACTAATTTTGATAACACTGCTACCCAGACTTTGGCTTTGGTTATTGATACCCTGCCCCCTGCATTGGCTTTCAATTACTCCCTAATTGCCTACTGTTTCTGACTTGATCTCAGCATTCCTGACCAGTACATAGGAATGCTTTCCACTTCATTGTTCCAGATGTGACCATTTTCTGTGCTTTTGGCCAGATTTTCCTCAATCTGGAATACATTCATTAAAAATTTCTGTTTCTTTATTCAATTAAATTAACAGCCAATTAACAAACATGAATCTCAAGAATATGTTTGGAAATTCTAAAAAGGGGAAAAGGGAGAAATGACTCATCATATTATTTTCCAACATATCTGTATACATACACAGTATCATACAGTTACTTTACAAAACTAATAAATACATATATTCATAAAAAGTAATAATAAAAGTATTCATAAAGAATAGTTTTGCTTATTTCTAGCCAACATTTAAGCAAAATTTTTTTTCAACTATTTAATTACTTGTCTCTTCTTTACAAAGCTATTACCTTAGTGACTGGCGACTGACCAATCCTCCAAATAATGAGTCTTTCTTTGAAAACCAGCCATGCCCATCCACTTTCATCTATATGGACAGTCAACTGATCATCAGCTGAGAAAGAAAATGAAAATTATAAGACAAGCCTCAAAATAGCACTTCAAATACAGTAGAAGCTAGCAAAATTGCAAAATTCATGACATTACAGCAAAGCCATACTAGACTGTAAAGGGACTTAATTTAACCCAAAGGTAACTTAAACTAATGTGAAATTAATTAAAAAGAAAAAATATCCTTGGATGATTCAATTACTATCACTTATTTCCAAAATCATATCTTTTTTTTTATATGTATAATCACTTTAAAAAATACATCTAAGTAGCTATGTAAAATCCCAGAGAGAATTACTTTGAAAAAAGACCTTCCAGTAAAGGCCTCTAAAAAAGGGCCTCTATTTCCTTATCTTTTTTTTTTTTAAAAAAGGGTGGAACAGGGTAGTAAGACTAAGATATTCAATAAGCTGACTTTCAACCCTTACATTCTAGTATCATATATAAAACAGAACCCCCAAAATGATTTCATTAAACAGAATGTCAAGCATGCTTTTGGCAAAACTTAACTAGCATATTGATGTCACTCTATTATTTGGCAACAGAGAATAGTGATAACATGGACAAGTAAAATCTCTGATCACCTAAAAACTGTTTTCATTCATTCACAAGCTCTTTCCCATTGGAAAAAATCAGCTACGTGTTAATATTTATGGAAATTTTATTGATTTGAGTTTATCTCTCTCCCTTTATATGTGATAAAGGCTAATGATATTTGAGGACACATGAATCAGATGAAAAGGATGAAGGAAAAGAAAAACAAATGGCAGGGATAAATCCACAAATAGGATGATCAAATGCTATTTTTACTAGTTAGAACTATTTCTGCCCTGGAACTTTTTCATACTTTGAACGGATCCCAATTTTCATTTATTTTAAATAAAAAAAGTAGAACAGATCAAAACCCTCTATACACCACAAGGACTACATTCCTTAAAGTCCTGAAATATCAAGGCCATTTTAGGGGGACTCTTCGTGAGGAGCCAAAGGAGTGCTACCTATGCAAATCTACACAGTCCAATATGTCAGCACCATCTTCCCTGGGTCTCCATACTTGAAGGTCAACAAGTCTAATCTCATCACTGTTTCATTCATTAATACTGAAAAGAGGTAGAGAGGCTGGAATCTGTACCAGGGAAGTACTGTCCTCACTGTTGAGGTCATGGATGCCTAGAAATGTGGGAATCACTGATGACTGCAGATAACAGTGCACTCTTTTGATGATGGGGCCGCTGAACTGATGTGTTTTAAACTGATGGAATGCACTGGGCTTTACCTCTGTCATATTGGAGATGACTAGTTTATAAAGGGAGATATGTACCCCTAAGGAGCAAATTTAAACCTCCACTGAAGAAGGAGGTCATCTGGAGTGAACTGTGATATTTGGGATAACTGAACAAGGAGCTAAATATCAGGAACTGGCTCAAGAGTTCATCAAGAAAAATTCTAACCTGCAAGCTTCAAAACAGTCTTTCCGTGGCATTTCTAAAAGTCCAAGGGATCAAGGTTAGAACTAGATTTTAGGTGGAATAATTAGTTAAAATTAGTTTATGCATGCACTCCCGCACACACACACACATACACTCTCTCTCACTATATATATAATATGTATATATGCACACCTCCCCATATATGTATGTGTATAATACCATACATAATTGCCAAATCTAATGGCCTATTCTCAACCCTCATCCTTCTTGACTTCTCTGCAGCCTCTGACACTGTCCATCTCCCTCTTTCTCCTTGACACTCTCTTCTCTCTAGGTTTTCATGACACTGCTCTCTCCTGATTGTCTTCCCACTTGTTGAATTGCTTCTTTTCAGTCTCCCTGGCTGGATCGGTGTCCCCCAAGGTTCTATCCTGGGCCCTCTTCACTTCTTCCTCTCTATTATTTCACTTGGTGATCTCATTAGCTCCCACGAATTCAATCATCATTCCCATGCAGATGATTTTCAGATCTATTTATCCAGCCATATCTTCTCTCCTGACCTTCAGTCTCATATCTTCAACTACCTCCTGAACATTTTGAATGGGATATTCCATAGCCATCTTAAACTTATCATGTATGAAAGAGAACTCATATTCCTTCCGCAAAAATCTTCCTCTCAGAGCAGAACTCCAGCCTTGGAGTCAGGAGGATCTGAATTTAAATCTGGTCTCAGACACTTGACACTTACTAGATGTGTGACCCTGGGCAAGTCACTTAACCCCATTGCCTAGCCAAAAAGCAAAAAAAAAAAAAAATCCTCCTCTCCTCCTACCCTTCCTATTTCAAGAATACCGCCATCTTCCCAATCACCCAGGTTCACAATCTAGAGATCATCCTTGACTCCTCACTCTCTCCCTTCTCTCCCATATCCAATTTGTTGCCAAATCCCGTAGATTTTGCCATCATAACAACTATTATATATGCCCCCTTCTCTCTTTTAACATTGTCATCCCCCTGGTGCAGGTTTTCATCTCTTCATGCCTAAACTTAGCATAGCTTTCTGGTTGGTCTCCCTGCCCGAAGTCTCTCCCCACTCTGGTCCATGCTCCACTCAGTTATCAAATTGGTTTTCAAATATGAAATCCTGTTTGTCTTTTAAAGCCCTTCACAACCCGAGTCCATCCTATCTTTCCAGTCCTCTTATACCTTATACTCCTCTATCTATCCTGTGATGCAGTAACTTTTGCCTCATTGTATACTCAGTGTTCAGCACACTGTCTGGTACTTAATAAATGCTTATTGACTGATTAACTGTTCCTTGCACATGATACTCTATCTTCCAACTCCAGCATCTTCACTGGCAGGTAACCCCTCCTGAAATTTCTTCCCTCCTCATTTATCTCCTGGCTTCCCTAACTTCCTTCAAGTCCTGCCTTAAACTGTACCTTCTGCAAAATGCCTTTCCCAATCCTTCTTAATCTTAGTGACTTCCCTGAGATTATCTCCAATTTATCCTGTATATATCTTATTTATACATAGGTATTTGCATATTGTCTCTGCCATTAGACTGTGAGGTCCTTGAGGGCAAGGACTATTTTTTAACCCCTTTTTAAATTTTGTATCTCCAGTACTTAGCATAGACTATTTAAATATTTAATTCATGTAGAACGATGGTAGAAATTTTGATGTCTAAAAATTACTGCTGAAATCCTTTACAAAAATTCTAGGAAACCCCAGGGGCACTGTGACAGCACATGTGAATTAAAGTATAAATATTCCATTATTTAGGGAAAAACCAGCTAATCAAGTAAAGTCAGCAAGCATTTATTAAGTATCTACTATGTGCTAGGCACTATGCTAAATGCTGGGGATTCAAAGAAAGGCAAAAAACAACCCCTTCCCTCAAGGAGCTCACAACCTAATGGAGAGGCAATATGCAAACAACTATGTACAAACAGGGTAAGTAGGAGATAATCTCAGAGAAAAGGCACTGAGATTAAGGAGGACTGGGAAACACTTTTTCGGGAACGTAGGACTTTAGCTGAGACTTGACCGAAAATGAGGAAGCTAGGAGGTGGAGGAATTAGAAAGTTCCAAGCATAAGGATAGCCAGTGAAAATGCTCAGAGCTGAGAGATAGAGCATTATGTGCAAGGAACAGCAAGGAGGCCAGTGTCACAGTGTGGAGTATGTTGGAAGGTGAAATGTTAAGAAAACCAGAAAGGTCATAATTTGGAGCCAAATCCTTAAGTGGACAACATGGCTAATCCTGAACCTTGTTTTTCTTCACATTCTCTCTATAGTCATGACTGATTAAAGGATAGGGAAGACAGGCAGAATATTTTCCTGTTCTTTTTGGAATTTTTCCTATAGAATTGCTGTTATAGGTTTCTCATTCTGAAAGCAGAATCCTCTGTATAAACATGTCAAAGATCACAGAAAAAACTTGTGTGAGCAGACCCTCCCTTCACTTTGTGCAATCCAAAGATTATGGCAATAAGACTTCAGGAAAGACTTCATTAATATCTATGCTTTCCTTGGTTTCTACTGCAATAGTTAGTCAATATCCTTCATTTCAAAATCCTATTGGCCTATTTTGCAGGATTGAAACTCTTATGATACTTATTAGTCGACTTTTGATATTGGTTTAGATTTTGGCTAAATAAAGGTTAAGGCTGTTAAGGTTTAATTTGGTTACTCTGGAATCAACCATGGTAGTCATTTTGTTATTGAAGTTACTAGTTACATCCCTCATGGTCTTCAATATACTGTGAAAAGCAGAGTCAAACATATATAGACGCAAATCATAAATTCTGATCCTTTATTCTTAGCCTAGGCTTTTATCTAAAGTTTCTAAAACGGAAACATGACCAACATCACCTACCTTCAGCCAGTGCTAAAGCTTCCATAACTTTAACAGGAAGAGAAGATCCAAAAGTTTTCACATCATAGTTGACAGTCTCACTGACAGACTGGTGCTGTACCATTCTCGTGGGTGTTCCACTAAATGAAATAATACAGCTTGTCACTTGTTTTGTAATTTAATTTAAAGAAAATCTAAAAATAGGGGACAGGAAAAGGAAAAATGAGGTACTGTGGAAAAAGTACCTTACTGGTAGTTAAGAAGCCTAGGTTCTATTTTCAACTCTGCTAATAACTAGCTATCTGGGCTTGGGCAAGTATTTACATCTCAGAGCTCAGTAAAATATGACTGGACTAAACGATCCCTTCTAGCTCTGAAATTACGAGTTTATATGAGATATATGCTCATTTATGGTACTATATAAAAAACTAGTAAATCAATTAGCATCTAATACAAGAGATTTTGTTGTTCTTTACAGTAAACACGGTAAAGTGGAAATACTTCCTTCTCATTTTTTAAATTATTCAAAATGCAGTAAAATTCCCATTTCAACGTTTACAAAGCACTTATTTCGTATATAGCACTCTACAAGCAAAGAGAGATAAAAAGATTAAAAAAACCAAAGTCATTGTTCTCAGGAACCTTACATTTTACAGTAAATAGTATTTTATTACTCCATGGATCTTGCGATGAAATTTAAGTATCTTTCCCATGTACACAGTGCTCTCTCACTTGAAACAATGAAAAGTCTATAATGTGGTTTTAAGTAGCTAGGTGGGACAGTGCTGGATAAAGTGTTGGATTTGGACTTAGGAAAACACCAATTCAATCATGCCTCAGATACTTACTAGCTATGTGACCTTGAGTAAAAACTTCTCTTAACCTTCAATTTCCTTATCTGTAAAATGAGGACAAAAATAGCATCTTCCTCTTCACAGGGTGGTAGTAAGGATCAAATGAGACAAGGAAAGTTCTTTATGCTGTGTAAGTGCCCGTTGTTATTATGGGGCCTTATATTATCTGAAGGGTTGTTACTTCAACATGGGCAGCTGAAGAACAAATAAAATGGAACTTAAAAGAAGATATTGTTCTTGTTCACTACAAATTTTCATTAAAGCAACAAGTAACATCACAAAAACATTTTGTAGAGCATTTTGCCCAAACTGGATGTATTAAAGATGAAATCATTTGTTCAAAACGCTTGTTTCTTTTCCATAGAAATTATAAAAGTAACTTTTCCCATATAAAAGTACCAATCTGCAACCCTCCTACTTCTAGAAGAAGGAAAATCCCTATAGCAAATTCTGCTCAAAGAAAATTTCTAAGATAAAGACAGATTCTGTGCCCCGCCCCCCCAAGCTTTGGTTATGAAAAATACATAAACAGGAAGAAACCAGCTCCCTCAAATATCTAACTCTGGGAGCAGCTAGGTGGCGCAGTGGATAGAGCTCCTGCCTTGGAGTCAGGAGGAGCTGAGTTCAAATTTGAGCTCAGATATTTGACACTGAATAGCTTGTATGACCCCAACTACCTCACCAAAAAAGCAAAAACAAAAACAAAAAAAACCAACAAAAAAAAAAACCAACCAAATATCTAACTCTAACCACTCCTTTATTCTTCTTTTTTTTAAATCTTTTTTTTTGTTTTTAAATCTTATTGATATTTTATTTTTTCCCAATTACATGTAAAAACAATTTAACATTTTTTTTCTTTCAAATTCTGAGTTCCAAATTCTCTCCCCCATTGAGAAGGCAAGCGATTTGACACAGGTTATACATCATGAGTAGTTATGCAAAACACAGTTCCAAGTTAGTCATGCTGTGAAAGAAAACAGACCAAAAAAATTAAGAAAAATAAAGAAAAAGTATCTTTGATCTGCATCCTTTACATAGATACAAAAAAAATTTCTTGATCACCTACCATATACAGAACATTGTAATAGTCACTATGGAAAAAAATAAAGCTTAGATAAGGTAAGACAAAGTCCCATCCATCATGGAATTTAGAATCTAATAGTGTCATAAATTCAGAGCTGGAAGGGATCTAACAGGTCATGTCCCTCCTTTGACAGATGAGAAAACTCAGGCTTAGAAAGGAAGGAACGTGGCCTAAGTCACACAAAGAGCCAAGTGGCACTAGATGTGAACCTAATTTAACCTAAGCCCAGTCACGGCTGCCTTACTAGAGGGCTAAGACAGAAATACAACGAATTTCAACACAATATACTATATGTTCATCAGAAAGTTGCAAAACAAAGTGCTACATTGACTGTGAGGCAGAAAGGAGATTCCTATATGCTACTTGGTCAGTAGCAATTAAATAAGTCAAGCTGTGGATGGAGAATACTACCCATTCTCCACCACTTAGATGACAAATTGATATTCCTAAAACAGATCTGATCATATTAGTAACCTCCTCTAAATCTAATGGGAAGGGGGAGGGGGGGAGAATTGGACATTTATTATTGTGTTTCTCAGAGCAAGTCACTTAACCTCTCAATCCCAATCTTCATCATGCATAAAATAGTGATTTTGATATTTGCATGACTTTCCTCACAGAATATAAAGTTCTAATAAACTGTAAAGCACTACAGGAATGTGAAAACAATTAACCCTCTTCTCCCCAAGTCACCCTAGCATTTTAGCTCATAAGAATGCCCATAAAGGCACAAATTCAGGCCAGAGGCAGTTTCAGGAGCAAGAGTATATGATTAAATGTGCTTTCTGCCCCTTCCCTGTGGTCCACAAATATATCTATGTCTCTTCTTTGTTAAAAACAAAAACAAAAACAACAAATCACTCTCACTTGACCCTACCATCCCCACCAAAAATTGTCCTCTATATCCTCTCCCTTTCTGAGGATATACTTCTTGAGAAAAACATCTCCATTTTGGTGACTGCACTTCCCCTCTTTTTACTGGATTCTAAATCTTCTGTAATCTGGCTTCCAAATTCATCATTCAACTGAAACTGCCTTTTCCAAAGTTTTTTGTTCAGTCATTATTCAGTCGTGTCCAGTCTCTGTGACCCCATTTGGGGTTTTCTTGGCAAAGATACTGGGATGGTTTGCCATTTCCTTCTCCAACTCATTTTACAACTGAGGAAACTGAGGTCAACAGGGTTAAATGACTAGCCCAAGGTCGCACAGCTAGCGTCTGAGGCCAGATTTGAACTCAACAAGATGAGTCTTCCTGACTCCAGGCCCATCAGTCTATCCACTTCACCAGTTATCTGTCCATTCTCCAAAGTTACCAAAGATCTTTTACATGCCAAATCCATTGGCCTTTTCTCAGTCTTCATTCTTCTCAACCTTTCTGAAGCCTCTGACATTGTCAATCAACTGTATATCCTTTCTTGTCTGGGTTTTCATGATACTGCTCTCTTTTGATAATCTTCTGTTTTCTTGATCTTATTTACTGGTTCTTCATCCATGTCATACTAACTAACCTCACATTTCCCTCAAGACTCTGGCCTGGGCCCTCTTTACGTTTCCCTCTATATTATCTCAATATATTTCCCTCTATATTACGTCAGTAATTTCAGTTCCCAAGGGTTCAATTAACATCTCTATGGGCATGATTCCCAGAACTATTTATCTAGACCTAATCTCCCTCTAGAGCTAATCATGCATCATCAACTGCCTTTTGGACTCTTCTCAAACTTGATGTTCCATAAACATCTCAAACTCAACACGTCCAAAACAGCACTCCTTTCCACCCCCACCCCCCACCCCCCACCCCCAATCCTCTCCTCTTCCCAACTTCTTTACAGTCAAGGGCACCAACATCTTTTATCAGTCAGAGGCTTGCAATCTCAGTGGCATCCTCACTCTCCGTGTCAAATTCTGTCACTTCTACCTTCACAAAATCTCCCATATACGCTCCTTTCTCTCCACTCACATAGCCACCACCCTAGCTTAGACCCTTATCACTTTTCACCTGAACTACTGCTATAGCCTTCTAAGTAGTATCCCCGATTTACATCTCCCCTTCAATTCATCCTCCACTCAGTTGTCAAGATCAAATTTTTTTTCCCTCCAATTTTTTTTATTTAAAGTTTTTTATTTTAAAAATATTTTTTTTAAAGTTTTTATTTAAAGTTTTTAGTTCCAAACTCTATCCTTCCCTCCCCCCTCCCTTAAGCAACAAGTAGATACAGGTTATACACGTGCAATTATGTGAAACACTTCATATTAGTCATTTTCTACAAGACTCAATAAAAGAAAAAAATGAAAGAAAGTAAGTGAAAAATAGCATGCTTCAATCTATTCAATCAATATCAGTTCTTTCTTTGGAGGTAGCTAGTATGCTTCATCAGATCACTGTATTGCTGAGAACACCTAAATCATTCACAGTTCTTCATCGAACAGTACTGCTGCTACTGTACAACTTCTCTTGTTTCTGTTCACTTCACTATACATCAGTTCATGGAAGTTTTTCCAGGTTTTTCTGAAATCATCTCACTTGTCATTTCTTATAGCACAATAATATTCCATTACAATCATATACCATACCTTGTTTAGTCATTCCTCAATTGATGGGCATCTCTTAGATTTCCAATTCTTAGCCAACACAAAAAGAGCTACTATAAACATTTTTGTACAAATAGGTCCTTTTTCCTTTTTTTTGGATGTCTTTGTGATATAGACCTAGCAGTGGTATTTCTGGATTAAAGGGTATGCACAATTTGATTGCCCTTTGGGTGAAGTTCTCTCCAGAATGGTTGGATCAGTTCACAGTTCCACCAAAAGAGCACTCATTAGTGTCCCAGTTTTCTTATATCCCCTCCAACATCCAATATTTTCCTTTTTGTTGTATTTCCCACTCTGATAAGTGTGAGGTGGTACCTCAGAGTTGTTTTAATTTGCATTTCTTTGATCAATGGTGATTTACAGCATTTTTTTCATGACTATGAATAGCTTTGATTTTTGTCTGAAAACTTTCTGTTCATATGCTTTGACCTTAATTTAACTCAGTTCTCTACATATTTGAGAAATGAGGCCTTTATCGGAGATACTTTTGGCAAATTTTTTCCCCAGCTTTCTGCTTTCCTTACAATTTTGTTTGCATTAGTCTTATTTGTGCAAAAACTTTTTAATTTTATATAATCAAAATTATCTATTTTACATTTTGTAATGCTCTACATATCTTTTCTGTCCTAAATTCTTCCATTATCCATAAATCGGACAGATAAAGTACTCCATACTCTCTTAATTTATGATATCATCCTTTTATGTAAGGTCCTATTTTGACCTTACCTTAGTACACAGTGTGAGATATTAGTCTATACCTAGTTTCTGTCATACTATTTTCTAGTTTTCCCAGCAGTTTTTGTCAAATTATGAGTTTTTTGTTCCAAAAGCTTGGATCTTTAGGTTTATCATATACTAGATTACTATGGTTATTTCCTGAATGTAATTTGTACCTAATCTATTCCACTCATCTACCACTCTATTTCTTAGCCAGTACTAAATTGTTTTGATAATTACCACTTCATAATACAGTTTGAGATCTGGTACAGCTAGACCACCTTCTTTTGCCTTTTTTTTTAATTGACAACCTTGAGCTTTTGTTCTCCTAGATGAATTCTGTTATTTTTTCTAGCTCTATACAATAATTGTTTGATAGTCACTGATATGACACTGAATAAAATAGACTAATTTAGGTAGAATTGTCATTTTTATTATACTGGTTCGCCTACCCATGAGCAATTAATATTTTTCCAACTGTTTAGAGTTGACTTTCTGCAAAAAGTGTTTTATAGTTGTGTTCATATAGTTCCTGGGTTTGTCTTGGCAGGTAGACTGCCAAGCATTTTATATTGTTTATAGTTATTTTAAATGGAATTTTTCTATCTCCTGCTGTTGGACTTTGTTGGCAATACATAGAAATGCTGATAAATTTATGTGGGCTTATTTTGTATCCTGCAACTTTGCTAAAGTTGTTAATAATTTCAAGTAGTTTTTTAGTTGATTTTCTAGGATTTTCTTAGTATAATATCATATCATCTGCAAAAAGTGATAATTTTGTTTCCTTATTGCCTATTCTAATACCTTTAATATCTTTTTTCTTTTCTTATTGCTATGTCTAAATCCCTGCTCCACCCCTGACTGGATTGGGATGGCTTCTAGCTTATCTCCATTACAGATAATGCTTGTTGATGGTTTTAGATAGATGTCACTTATCATTTTAAGGTAAGCTCCATTTATGAGTTTTTCTAAAGAATAAGTCTGACCAGACCTGTTATCTCCCTGCTGTAGGAACAACAGTGGCTCCCTATTACCTTCAGAACCAAATTTTAAAAACTCTGGTATTTAAAGTTCTTCACAACCTAGTCCTCTCTAACCTCTCTGACCTTACACTTTACTGCTCTCTATGAATTCTAAGAACCAGTGACACTGGCTTATTCAAAGCTCTTCATATACAACACCCCCTTCTCAGTGCTTTTGCACTATTTCCCCCATGCCTGCAAAGTTCTGCTCCCTTACCACTGCCTCTCAGTTCCTTCAATACTCAGCTCCAACTCCCTCAGCTGATAGAGCCTTCAGCTTCTCAAAATACCTTTCTACCTATTCTGCATATATCTTGTGTGTACCTAGTTATTTGCATGCTATCTCTTTCCACACACAAATCACCCCCACTCTCCCAACGTTTGCTTCTTAAGGATTTAGCACAATGCCTGGCACCTTTTAAGCTCTTAATAAATATTAGTTGACTGACTTGGGCTTTGGAATCAGGAAACCTGAACTTGAGTGCTGACTCTAACATTTCAACTGTATCACTATCAGCCAATCACAACCTGAGCCTCAGTTCGAGCATGTGCAAGTATGGCCCCCTTTTCAGAGATGCTCGAACTCTGCTCAATAACAACCAGCACTTTCTGGTGGTGGGTGTGAGAAAGCTTATGGGGGTGGGATGGGGAGATATGGGGAGGGGCACTTTTCAGTGCACGATTCAGTTCAGTGCCACAAGCATTCGCTGGGCAGGGCCAGGCCGGGCCGCGCCGAGGGCGGGGCACTGGGACACGGGCCCCAGCCAAGGTGGTTGGTCATCCCACTCCCAAACACGCCGAGTTCGTACACCACACAGGGCACAGCATACGCGCGCGGGAAGGTTGCCCGCGCAGCCCCACGGGATGTCATGAGACGGTCCACGCAGCAGTTGACATGATGAAGGTGGGGGAAGGGGTGGAAGGAATCACTTACCGCGCGCTCAGGGAGCTCCGGCGGCTAACGGGCGAGAACAGCCCGGGAGAGCCCACGGCTGACCCCAGGGTCAGGCCCTTCCTGCCCGCCGGGCGGGGCGTGGAGACTGGCGTGGCTCCCCCCAGGGGGCCCCTGCGGACCCCAGGGCCCGGGGTCCGCGGGGAGGCGGAGGCAGTAGGGAACATGACGGGACGGGAGACGCTCTATGGATCCAAAACACGACAGCTGAAGGGAACGCGAGCCGGTTAAAAACGAGGCGCGCTGCGATGACCTCACGACGCACGCGCCCCCGCCGGTGCTTTCAGGCCGCATGATTGGGCCTGGCGCACGGGTCACGTTTGACGGGAGGTCGGAAGTGGGACCGGAAGTCCCGCCTCCTTGGTCCCGGAATTTGGGTCGGTCCTAATTGTGGCTGGGCAGCCACGGTATTTAGACAAAGACCGTGAAGCTAAACGGTAGGGCAGGGTTGTGGAACCTGCGGTCTGGGGTTCTTCTAGGTTCTCAAGTGCCACCGTTTGACTGAATCCAAACTTCAGTCTAGGTCCTACGAACGGACCTCCAGGTTTTAGGTTTGGCAGAAGCACAAGAGCATCACGAGCCGCCAATGTACGGAAAAGGATCCTTTGCAAAAGTCCTCCTTGCTCATCTAGTCAACGCGGTGGGGCAGGCTGTAGAGTTTTGAACTTGGAACCAGAAGACCCGAGTTCAAATCCTGCCTCTCATATTTAGCGGTGTAGCCCTAGACAAGTCACTTAACTTCTGCCTCATCCGAAAAATGGGGATGAAAATAGAACCTTCCTCACGGGGTACTGAGTCAAAAGAGAAAACACGAAACGCTCTTAACCCTGTAAAGCGTTTTGCAAACCTTAAAGCAACGTGTAAGTGCAAACTATTATTGTTCCAGACTTTCTGAGTCGGGAAGATGCTGTAGAAAGAGTGCGATTTGGAGACACAATCAGGGTTCAAATGTAGACTCTGCCAAGTCCTCTCGTCTCTACTTTGGTCTCTCTTCTGTGACCCTTTTTCTCCTCTGGCACTACTACCGCCCTGGTGCAGGTCCTCATCACCTCACACCTGGTGTCAAATCATTTCCTGACCCCGAGATCCTGTTGATTCTCTCCTGAGTATATATCTTATTTGAGCACAGTTATTTGCATTTGTCTGTATTCCACAGTAAACGCCTTGAAAGCAGGGAACATCTTTTCCCTTTCGTTGTATTCCCTAAGATTAGCACAGTTCCTGGCACATAGTAAGTAGGAGCTAAATAAATACTAGTTGACTTGGCAAATCACTCAAACACCCAGGGCCTCTATTTCCGCATCTGTAAAATTAAGAGGTTGGAGAGATTGACCTCTGAGGCCCCTCAAGCTATGATTGCATCTGTGGAATTTTCCACATAGGTAGTTGGATACTTCATCAAATATTTATTGGACATTTAACAATGTTCAAAGCACTGTGATTAGCCCAGGTGAATGAATAAATGAATGAGCATTTATTAAGAGATTACATACTACAAGTTAGGCTTTGATCTAGGGAAATGGTGCCTAGTGAGGGGAATTTCAGTCTTCAGGAAGTTATGGGAATGATGAGTGGAGAGACAGAGTAATTGCTTAACATGCTCTTTCCATAAGTTAAGGTAGTTTGATTTGCTTACTGTTCTCAGTCAGTAAGCACTAATTAAGTACCTACTATGGGCCAAGCACCGCGTTAAGCACTGGAGCGATCTTAACCCAGAGCAAGAGGTGAGGAGAGGGTAGGGTTAGGATTATAAGGCATGGCTCCCTGGAAAGGGAAAGAGGGAGAGATATTGGGAAATGTAGTTGATGTAAAGATTAAAGATAGCCAATGGCACCAGCCCTGGAGTCAGGAGGACCTGAGTTCAAATCTTGCCTCAGACACTTACTAGCTGTGTGACCCTGGGCAAGTCACTTAACCCTGATTGCCTCCAAGAAAGGGCAAAAAAATGAAAAATATCCATGAAAAATTATTTTAAGAAAAATTGTGGTGACCATGTGGTGACAATCATTTGTGACCTTAGAAGAAGTCAGAAATCTTATCATAAGGGGGTGAGAACTGAAAGGGAGGTGAAGTGGATGTGACAGTATACACAGCTTTTTGAGAGTTAATTGAAAGGACTTCTGGCTTTTCCTCATATACAACAGCCCACCTCCTGACTCTGTGCTTTTGAACTTATACCGGGAATACTGCCCTCCTCCTCACCCAAACTCTTAGAATCCCAGGGTCCTTCAAGACTCAGCCCACAGGCTATTTCAAGAGACCTTTCCTCATCCCTCTCCCTATCTCCCACCCCCAGGTGCTAATGCCTTCCCTTGGAAAGTTCCTTTCCATTTACTCTCTGTATATTCATGCATATATCAATATACATGTCCTTGAGGGCAAGACCTGCTCTTGCTTTTTCTTTGTATCCTCAGTGCTTAACACAGTTCCTGGCACACAATAAGTATTTAATAAATGCTTTCTGATTTGCTGATAGGGTCAAGTAAATGGTTTTTTTTTTTTTTAGGGTTAAGAAGATAATGCATAGAGATTGAAGATGGGCAAAGATAGTGGTAGAATAAAATCAAGGGCACAAGTAGAAGGTTTTAGCCTTGGCAAGGAAAGGGACACTGCTTCCTGTAATTGTAGGAAAGAATGGAAGATGAAGTCATTGGAGGTGCAGAATTGGGAAGAGAGAACTTACAATGAGATGGTTTTAGTTTTTTGTTGTTGTTGTTGTTTTGGTTTTTTTAGGCAATTGGGGTTAAGTGATTTGCCCAGGGTCACACAGCTAGTAAGTGTCAAATGTTTGGTCTGAGGTCAGATTTGAACTCGGGTCCTCCTGATTCCAGTGCTGGTGCTCTATCCACTGCACCACCTAGCTGCCCCCAGGTTTTAGTCTTTTCAACAATATGATATGTCAGGTTCTCTGGTTAGGGCAGAAGAAGGTAGTGGAGGTGGTTTGAGGGAAGACAGATAGAAGTTTGGAATGGTTGCTTTGGGCATTTCAATGGTCCATTAACGAACAAAAGGTAACAGGATCCCTCCGTAGCAATGAGAGTAAATTGAAGTTATGTAACAAATTTGTAGTGAATCTAGTCTATAGGTTTGTGTGATTACCTCCAAAGGTATTCAGTAGCACCCTACTAGGAACTGTATATGGATGGGGGTAACCCAAGAACGCATTTTGAAAAGGGGTGAACAGTGATGTGGGATTCAAGGAAGACAGTTGGATGAGTTAATAACTTTAACATCAAGATAATAAAGAAAGTGAGTCCAGAGCAATGGTGACAGACTAGGAAAACAGGAAGGGGTGAAGTGCTTGGAGGTAAAGAGGACAAATGATAGGCTGAGGAGGAGTGAAGTGGAAGAAGAAATAGGAGAAGAGGTTATAATCTTTTTTAATCCAGGGATCCCACTGCTAGGCATATATGTTAAGACAGAAAGGTCCCACATATGCCAAAACATTCCTAACAGCACTTTTTGTGGTATAGCAAAGAAGAGGAAACAAAGTAGATACCCATCCATTGGGAAATGGCTAAACAAATTGTAGTATATGAAAGTAAGGGAATATTAATGTGCCATAAGGGATGAACATGAAAAATTAAGAGAAGCATTGGAAGACTTACATGACCGATCAGAACAAAGTAAGGAGAACCAGGAAAACAATATACACGGTGACTACAAAAATATAAATGGGAAGAACAGTAAGAGACACTGAGCTTAGTACAGCTATAATGACCAAGTATAACCCTAAAGAAGAGATTAAGGGGCAGCTAGGTGGCACAGTGGATAGAGTACCAGCCCTGAAGTCAGGAGGACCTGGGTTCAAATCCAGTCTCAGACAGATAATACTCGCTACCTGTGTGACCCTGGGCAAGTCACTTAACCCCAATTGCTGTCACCAAAGGAAAAAAAAAATGAGCCTCCCTTCCACTTTTTTTTTTTTGGCTAGGCAATGAGGTTAAGTGACTTGCCCAGGGTCACACAGCTAGTGAGTGTTATGTGTCTGAGGCCGGATTTGAACCCAGGTCCTCCTGACTTCAGGGCCGGTGCTGTATCCTTCCATGTCTTTACAGGTGAAAGAGGGGGACCATGTATGTAGAACATTTCATATGCTGTTAATCTTGTTCAACTGCTTTCTCTTTTTTTTAAATTCTTTATTACCAGAGATGACTTGATGGGTAGAAGAGGAAGGGAAGTATTTTAAAATGAAAGCAATGTAAAAAAATATAGCAATGAAAATTAAATTTTAAAAAATAAGCTATGGTTTAAGTGGATTTTCAGAGTTCTGGATCATGGAGGTTGAATAATTAGAGGTAGTGATGGAGAGATCAAGGGTATGACCATCCCTGTGTGTGACTAAGACATTGTGAAGGTGCCAGGTCATGGTAATTGGAACTGATTAACAAAAGGACAAAATGTTGGAGGAGAATCAGATGTATATTAGAGTCAAGTATGAGAATAACAGCTAGGGTGGAGGGATAGACTGGCTCTAGGTGCCTGGAAGATAACAGTAATGAGGATGTGGCTGGAGCCGTATAGATCAAAGGAGTGAAGTACAAGAGAGGTTTCGGAGCCATGACATCAAAGGGGAGGGTCGGAAAGTGGCTATGAAGAACAAGGAGCCTCATTCCAGGATTGGAGGGGTGCTGGGAGGAAAGGAGAGAAATAAGCTGTGATCCAGATTTTGGAAAATGGTGGCCAGTAATAGTGTCTTCTGGGGGAAGTCAAGTTTCTAGGGTTTAAGATAAGTCTAAAAGAATAGGATTCTGGAGAGCAAAATGGAAGGGGAAGTTTGAGTGGGAAAGGGACATGGGAGGGAGAAGGCTGAGGTGGCTGGCAATGAGAGAGCTTTCAGAGAAATAATTTCTGCCTAGGTGACCTTTTTAAAGGAGAAAGGTTGGTTGCGATAGGATAATAGACTATTGTTTTTCCCCGGAAGCAATGACAGCTCTGCCTCAATCCCTGGTCTGATAGTCAACCAGCATTTTTTTAAAGCACTTACTGTAGGCCAGCAAGTTCTGAGGATATAAAGAAAGGCATAAACATTCCCTGCCCTCAAAGAGCTCACATTCTAATGGGGGAGACAACAAATAACAAGGTGCATACATAGAGGATGAATTAGAAATAATCTCAGAGGGAAGAGACCAGGAAAAGCTTCTTACATAAGGTATGATTTTAGCTGAAACTTGAAGGAAGTCAGGAGGCCAAGGTAAGGAGGGAGAGCTTTCTAGATGTGGGGGGACAGCCAGCAAAAATGAAGATGGAGATGGAGAGTCCCATGCACAAACACTGCACAGACCAGTACCACTGGATTGTGGAAGTGTATGGAGAGGATGAAAGTGGAAGAACGGGAAGGTAGGAAGGGACCAGCTTGTGAAGGACTTTAAAAGCCAAACAAGGATTTTTTATTTGATCCTAGAGGTAATAAAGAGCCACTGGAGTGTACTTTGGGGGTAGTTGATTTATTCAGATCTGCTGCCCTAGCCAGGATGTGGGTAGATGGGGGAGTGTGTTTAGAGGCCAAAGCTGAGTCTGACCCCATGGGTCAAGGCTTGATAACATTTAAGTAGTTTAATAGAGTACCTAGTTTATTGTACATATTGACTAATGGGAAACCTATCCATTAATGGGAGAATTAAAAACAACTCAGATTATGTGGACCATTTTAACAACTGTCAGGCATGATTTAGATTGGGACTCTTGTATTAGTTTCTCAACCCATTCTGAACAGTTAAACCATAAATCCTTCAACTTCCAGATGTATTGTGCTGTTAAAAGTACATCAAACCAAGTTAACTTCACTCTTCCATTTAAAGAAGGAAACAGGACTGACATCTCATTTCCCATCTGGCTGCATTCATTTTGGACTTCTTTGGTTTCTCTACCATACTCCCTCCCCCTTCCCACGACCAGTACCTCCATGGCTCCTCCCACCACTTTTCAGCTTTCTTTGGTGTGTGGTCTTCCCCCTTAGATTGTAAACTCCTTGAGGGTCGGGACGCTCTTTTTTTTTTGTATTTGTATTAGAAGTGCTTAGTGAAGTTCCCGACACGTAGTAGGTTAATTAATGTTTGACTATTGTCAAGATCTCCATGCCAAGACCACCTCTCTCTTTTTAATATTAGGAGACACCCTGTTTTCCAGAGCTAAGGCTCGGCAAGCAAGCTGTGCCCTGAGCTTGGCGTAATAACACTCCTCTGTGCTCACCCTTTGGATGAACTCTGCTGCAGCAAAGTCCCAGAATTGTTTCTGTACCAGCCACAGGTGGTCCCTGAGCTCTGTCAAACACCTGCAGGAACTATGTTCTGGTCATGAAGCTCTGCTATGAATCATACTCCTCTCGTTGTTGTTGTTACCTCTCATTGTCATGGCTACAGCTCACTACAAAGCCACTGTATATGTACCAAGGTTTGGCCCCAGCATGTGTCTAGCTTCCCTCCTCCAATGGAACAAAGAAAGCTTTTTGCTTGTGACCACTGTTAGCTCTTTGTTTTTATCTTACTTTATTTTTCAGAGTTAACTGTGATTGTGATAACCTGTGTGAGTTCTTTGGTATTTTCAGAGTTAACAGTGGTTGCTTAGCTGCTGTGGCTCTGGTTATTTATTTGGTTTGTCAGAGCTAGCAGCTGGGGCATTATTTCTGTGAGCTTTCTGGTATTTCATTTTTCAGAGTTAGCAGGGGTTGCATAACCTCTGACTCTTTGGTCATTTGTTTTCAGAGTTGACACTATTGACTTCCAAAGTTGTTGGAATCTGTAAATGGATCTATTGCCATGGCAATCAACTACCCTACATATTTACTCCAGGTAGCTAGAAAGAAACTATACACAATTTATAAAAACAGAAGATGTTAATAAAATCTATTTTTAAAAGAAAAATAATATTCTGCATGATAAAGTATCAGAGGAAGAGTGCTTTTCCTATAGGAAATTGGAAAAAATATGCTATTCATTTTTTTTTCAAATTTGTATTGCAAGGTTTTGTTTTTGTTTTTATGCTTGAATCTGCATAGATGAATATACACTTAGATAAGAAAAGACACTAATAGTTACAAATTTTAATCCATGATACAAAAGCTTACAGGAAAAAAAACTGAATAGGGCAATGCTAGAAAATAAAATATAGTGATCACATTTGGAAATATCTCTATGGCATGAAGAGATTTAGCTTTTTAGCTTTTTAATTGTGCTTAATTTTTTTCTTTTGCAGGACCAAAGTAATGACACATATAAAATAAAGAATACAGGTAAATTTTGTTAAAGTGATTGTCATAGATGCACTTTTTTTTTTTTGGCTGATTCAGAATATATGGCCATTTATTAATAAATTCCCTTATGTGGAAATAAAATGTAATACATGATTCTTTTGTTCACACACAAACTCTCTCTCTCTCTCTCTGTCTCACAGATGCACCCTTGCAGTGTAATGAGAAAATTAATGAAGACCTAGCATAAGGGAAGACTTTCATTTAAAAAAAAATCACTTCCTAGTTATCAACTTAAAATGAGTACAAAAAGCACATGTTTTGAGGCAACATGAAAATTAATGGTACTGATATGGAAAGTAAGTCCAGTGGTTTTCAGTCTTGTTTTTAGGAATTTGAGATAAGATTACTGCTATGAATGAAAGAAAAATAGGCTGTTTAAGTTTTACATTCAACAGTGATTATTTTTTAATTGTAATTACTGTTTTTGTCTTATAAAAGACACTAATTATAAAAGATCTCCAAATGTTTCAAGGTTGGAAATCTCAATATCTCAGCCTTAAATTCAAGGAAATTTAGCCAATGTATACAAAATTGAAAATTTTGGTTTGCCTGAGAAATTACCCAGTTTTTAGGTTATTCACCAAGTCTTCAACCTCCACGTAAGTAAAATTCATTGCACGATATCAAGTGGAGAACTGACAGCTAGATGGCAGCTCTTCTCTTGTTTCCCAAAGCATTCATATTAACACATACATGTATTAAGTAAAAATATATAAAATGAGTTTCCCCTATTTTGAAGCTCTCTAGAATAGCACAAAGTTGTTAAAAACAAATATCACCTCTTCAGTTATGCCCCATGTACTTCCAAATAATTCACAAACCCTTCAAACCGGAAAAGAATGTGACTCAATATCAATTTACCCTTTACCCACTTTAAGTTTCTAATTTTATATATAATTCTTAAAATTATGTAGTAAGGCTTAGCACATACAGTTAATATAATGACCACAGTAATTTAAAAAGGAAACAATACTGAAAGACATTAAAACCCGGATCAATGCAAAGACTTTTGTAACTTCAAAGGAATTACAGTGAAGTCTGCCTTCTCAAAGGCTGCCTTTGCCATCTTGGTTAAAAAAAAAAAGGTAGGAAGGAAATTCTAGGTAAAAAAACAAAAAAAACCCGAGGCACATTTTATCAGTCATGGCCAATGTATGGATTTGTTTTGCTTAAGCGTATATTCTTACAAGGGAAGGTGTCTACTGGAGGCCAGGAGTAATCACTGAGAATGAACAGTTATATAAAAAGGAAAGAGAATCAATAAAATAATGTTTTTAAAAGGGCTGTATTCTCATTTTATGTAGCTCTCCCAAGATAGCAATTGGGCCATGAAGCAAAGGAACATCCTAAGGGAATTACACAGAAAGTTAAACTGGCCTAGAGTAATCAGGCTTTTAAATTTAATTTCCCTTTAAAAAATTATCATTTGACAATGTTTCCAATGTATATACCAAGAGGCAAAAGAAAACTATATGCCACACTATATTCTAGTATATAACAAGACAAAAGAAATTATATAAAACCTTAAAATGATTTTGGTGGTTTAGACATTTAGAAAGTTACAATAATTATTAAAACTCTGAATAAAAAGTTTTGAACACAGTTAAGTTTCAAGACAGTATTTTGTATACTTTGCAAAAATATATGTTTCAAATAACTTGAAGCTTAAATTATAGACTTCATACATATCCTCCAAGCTTTTTTTCCCCCGTCTGTTGCTTTGTTTTAAAGTCTCTGGCATAGATTTACTGTATATTGTATATTTCATTATGCTGAAATAAAGCTTTGCTTTTTCATTAATTTTCTATATAGCCCATCTGGATTTGAAAGAAGTTCTTCATGTTTTCCACATTCAGTAATTTTTCCTTGATCAAGAACAGCAACCATGTTAGCATTTTTAATGGTAGACAGACGATGGGCAATAATCAATACAGTCCTTCCTTCCATTAATCGATCTAGAGCTTCTTGTACAAGATACTCATTTTCAGCATCCAGTGCACTTTCAGAGGAAAAAAAAAGGCACAAAAAAAGCAAAATGTTATTCATAAAATTTAAGTGATCATGTATATTATATATTTCATTATATATCATGTATATTATATATTGTGAAGTACTACCCTTTCATTAGTGCTGAATTTTTATGATACCCAAAATTGCTTCATGGTTCTTGAGTGAAGCATGTTATAAATAAAAATAATCTTGACAACCTTCTTACCTTCATGAAAGGACTAGTACATAAAAGCATTTTGTATTACAGTATAATGGGGAAAAAATATGGAATACTGATCTAGAAGACCTGGTTTAAAAACCATTGGATTGAAACTTAGCTGAGTGATACTGGGCAAACCACTCCAGTTCTCAGTTCAACTATCTGAAAACTGATGCTAATACTTATATTATCTCCCTCAAAAAGTTAGGAGAAAAGTGCTCTATAAGCCTTAAAGCTCTTTAGACAGAAACTCATTACTTTGCAGTGATTGAAAATGAGGAAGAAAAATAATGTTTAAGTGAATTATCAGCAAGTATTTGATGGAGAATAGAAAACAAATTTCTGAGTATTTTTTTTAACTGCAGCACAGTTTGTGAAAAAGACCATACAAAATAATTAAGATGGAAAAAATGGCATCTTTCTATTTTTTCACTTTGTATTACAGAAGCAAAAGCATTTACTGAGGCTAGAATATATACTAACAAAATTTGTGTATGTTTTCAATTATCCTCACCTGGTGGCTTCATCCAGTAGAAGAATTTTGGGATTCTAAAGAAAGGAAATATTTAATTAGGAGATAGGTAAAAGGCCGAGTAGTACATACTATATAATATCAAGTGTCATTCCACAAAAAGAAATACTAGAAATATTTATTTAAAACTCTCACTTTCATTTTTGACAAGAATTGATGAGAACTCAGTGTTTCATAAACCTAAAAATATAAATTACCTTAGAAAGGACTACCTATTTGATGATAAGAGCTAGGCAAACTGGAAAGTAATATAGCAGAAATTAAATTTACACATACCATTCTGGACAATACATTTTAAATGGCTATGTGATCTGATTAAAGATAACATTAAAAAAAAAGAAAGCAAATAATATATAATTTGTTTGCCTCAGTTTCCTTATCTGTAAAATGGGGATAATAATAGCACCTACCTCCCAAGGTTGCCGTGAGCATCAAATGAGATAATAATTGTAAGGCACTTAACATAGTACCTGGCGCATAGTGAATGCTATATAAATGTTAGCTAGCTTTATTCTATAAATCTCCTATTATTATTGTTACTACTACTACTACTACCACCACGGCCACCATTACTATTACTATTCTCTGACAAGAACCTTCAAATTATTTTCTGTTTGACTTTTACCTTCACATCCACATTCTAAACCATAAACCACTGAATTTACATTTCCCCTAATTTCACAGAATAGCCAAATGGTTTCAGACTTACCTTCAGCAGAGCACGAGCAATTGCAATTCGTTGTTTCTGCCCACCTGATGATGAAAGTCATTTTTAAGGTTAAGCATTAAACAAAATTTTTCTGTTTAATCACAAATCACTAGCGAATTAGACCAGGCAGCAACCTGATACAATTAAATTGTGGGGATGCAACTTTTTCAGAACAGAAGGAACAAAAAGATAGAGAGAGAGAGAGGGAGAGAGGGGGAGAGAGAGAGAGAGAGAGAGAGAGAGAGAGAGAGAGAGAGAGAGAGAGAGAGAGAGAGAGAGAGAGAGTGTGTGTGTGTGTCTCTGAGCACTCACCTATCATACCTTCCCTTCTCACCCTGCCCTACCCTACTCTTCCTAAAAAGTCAGATAGTACACATGTAGTGATAGAGGTAGAAGAGGACCCTGATGGAGTGCAAAAAATCATTTCAGTTCACATGTTTTGTAGTGGATACAGTTTTAGGTTTAGAATTATGGAACCAGAGTTAAAATTTAGCCTACATGACTTTATGCAAGTCAAATTATTTGGGCATTAGTTTCTATTTAAAAAACAAACAAAGGAGCTGGACGACATCATCTTTAAGGTCTCTTTCAGCTCTAAATTCTATGCTCTTATTTCCTTCTCCTAACACTTCAAACCCTGGTTTAAGGCAAGGAGGCATGTTTGAAGATGGGGGAAAGGGGCTGATTGGTGGTGGAAAGAGACAGAAAGTAGGACTGCCAGTACCACCTTAGCTGTCATACTGTCATTTCCTCATTCATCCAGAAAGACCACAGGATCACAGATTCAGAGCTGGAAGGGCCCTCAGAAGCCATCCTGTTCAACCTCTACATTTTAAAGAGGAAAAATGAGGCCCAGAGAGGGTAGGTGATGTGTCCACAGCTTACTAGAGGCTGAGGAGGAATCTGGTCCCAAGCAAATTCAGCACACTTCCCACTGGACCATAGCGTCACTCAAAACCCAACAGACCAGATGACCTCCAGCACTATTATAACCAGAAAGGGGACAGAAGTGTGTATCTTTTCCTACTTTCCTAAAATATTGAGCTAAAATCTACAAATAAGAAACAGCATATGAATATCATTTATCTCAGTGGAAGAAGACAAAGCACTGGCAGAATTAATAAGATAACAAATATGTTTTAAATGTTTTTTTTTTAAATGTTAAAGCACCATTCACATGTATTATTGTTCATTCTTTTTTTTTTTTGCAATTGGGGTTAAGTGACTTGCCCAGGGTCACACAGTTAGTAAGTGTCAAGTGTTTAGTCTGAGGCTGGATTTGAACTCAGGTCCTCCTGACTTCAGGGCCGGTGCTCTATCCACTGCGCCACCTAGCTGCCCCCTTATTGTTCATTCTTGTCTGACTCTTCTGGACCCCACTTGGGGTTTTCTTGGCAAGGATACTGGAATAGTTTGCCATTTCCTTCTCCAGCTCATTTTACAGATAAAGAACTGAGGCAAACAAGGTTAAGTGACTTGCCCACGGTCACACGGCTAATAAGTATCTGAGGCCAAATTTGAACTTGGGTCTTTCTTGACTCCCAGCCCAACATTCTATCCACTGCACCACCTAGCTGTCCAATACTACTACTATTCATATATAAAGTATTTAATATTATTATTGATAATAAATAATGAAGATCACCAACCTTATGGATACCTTAACATTAGTTAATGCCACTACAAACTGTTTGAACAATTATATATTGAATTTTTTTGTCCAAGATGATATTACCAAGTAGTAACCAACTACAACCCTTCTGGTAAAATGAAGGAACATGGGGCAGCTAGGTGGCGCACCACCTACAGCACCAGCCCTGGAGTCAGGAGGACCTGAGTGAGTTCAAATCTGACCTCAGACACTTGACACTCGCCAGCTATGTGACCCCTGGGGAAGTCATTTAATCCCATTGCCTAGCCAAAAAAAAAAAAAAAAAAAAAAAGCTCTAAAATGGAGGAACACTGGACCTTAACATCTGCCCTGACAATAGTACCCTGTACACCCTGGGCACTGATATCTGACCTGCCAACATACCTTCATGCCTGTGTTCTACCCACTGGACTCTTTCTTGGACCTTGCTATCTGCTTTGCTACAGAAACCTAGGGCCTCTTCATCTGCCCTACACCTGAATATTCTTTTGTGTGTTGTTTCTCCCAATTAGAATATGAACCCCTTCAAAGCTGAGCCTTTTTTGCCTTTCTGTTTGTATCTCTAGCTCTTAGCATAGTGCTTGGCACTGAATAAGTGCTTTTTTTTCATTTATACAATCTGCCATATAGAGCAATACAAAATAAATCCAGTCCCTCTTCCACATGACAGCTCCTTTGCGAATTCCCTCAAGCCCAGTCTTCTTTAGGATAAACATTCCTAATTCCTTCAGCTACTCTGCATATGGCAGTTTCCACACCAAACGTCATCCTGGGTGGCATCCTTCAGATGTTATCTATGCTTGAAGTACAACATCCAGAAGAAACTCAGTAGTCCGGCAACTAGCATTTATTTTTTTTTTTGGTCAGGCAATCAGGGTTAAGTGACTTGTCCAAGGTCACACAGCTAGTACGCGTCAAGTGTTTGGTCTGAGGCCGGATTTGAACTCAGGTCTTCCTGACTTCAGGGCTGGTGCTCTATCCACTGGCCACCTTACTGCCCCACAACTATCATTTATTAAGCACATACTATGTGCCAGGTACTATGCTAAGTGCTGGGGATATAAAGAAAGGCAAAAAACAGTCCCTGCTCTCAGGGAGTTCACAGTCTAATGAAGGGAACAACATGCTAATAACTATGTACAAATAAGATACACACAGGACAAATTAAAGATAATCTCTGGGAAGGCACTAAGATTAAGGGGGATTAGGAAAGGCATTCGGCAGAAGGTACAACTTTAGCTGGGACATGAAGGAAATTAGAGAAGCCAGGAGACAGATGGGGAAGGAGAGAATTCTAAGCATGGGTTACTGCCAGTGAAAATGCCTGCAGTCAGGAGATGGAGATCAGCATCAGGGGACTGCAGAATACAAAAAGGGGAGTGAGGAATAAGAAGACTGACAAGGCAGGGTGGAGCCAGTTTATGAAGGGCTTTTAAAGTCAAATAGAGGATTTCTATCTGATCCTGGAGGTGATGGCATTCCAGAAGTGATCTGGCACAGAGGATGGTGGGCCTTCTGCCTCTCTTTATCTAGCCACCAAACTCCAATTAATTCAGTGGGTAGAACACAGGCCAGGGAAGGGAAAATGCTGAATCTCAATTGTGCTTTTGATTCATTGTGTCCTTCACTTTGAGCAAGTTACTCTGTCTTAGGCTTCTCTAGAATCTGTGTCCTCACAGACTGTGCCAAGTTACAAAATATCTTTATCTCCGACCAGGGGTGGGGAACCTGAGGCCTTAAGGCGTCAGGTTCCAAATCATAATAACTATTTATGGATCCTTTTGGGTTATTTTTGTTTGCTTATTTTTATGCACATAACAGATTTTCTAGAAAGTTTTGAGCATACTATAAACCAAAATATAGTGACTCAAACCTATTTGTCAAATACAAAGTGCCACAAAATTGTGCAATAAACAATTAAGTACCAATCTTTTTGCTTCAAAAGTCAACAAAGACATACCTGAAAGCAGAACACCTTTTTCCCCAACCACAGTATCGAAGCCTTGGGGGAAATTGTTGATGAAAGCAGCAGCATTAGCTATATCAGCAACTTTCTGGATCTCTTCAAGAGTCACCAGGGAAGGGTTGTCTGCACCATACGCAATGTTTTCAGCAATTGAGCAAGAGAACAGAATCGGCTCCTGCAGAGTCAAACACATCACTTACTGTAGTTACAGCAGTAGCCTGCAAATGTCTCTGATGTGCCTGCTGCACATCAAGTTCTCAGGACATGTGACAGTGAATAGGGAAGGCAAATGATAGGTGAGGGAAATCCACTTACTTTATTAGAAGACTGATGGGCCTCAGTGGAACTTTAAGCTAGCCTCGGACACTTCCTGTTGGCAGGCACACGTGTGTTAACACTCACACCCACTTCTAGGTTCCACACTCACCAGTGCCAAGAATATCAACAGCACAGCCACTGAGGAACTGAGATCTCTGTGTCCCATTTCTACACTCACAGACTTAGCTCCTCTACCACCTTCCTGCACAACTGAGCCCCTCATGCCTCCATAATTTCCCCCTTCTAAGTGGGCACAAGTACCCCCGATTCCAAGTGGTGGGCTTCTGGGAATGTGACCTAGGGCAAGTCACTTTATCTCTGAGAGATTCTGTTTCCTCCTGTGTAAAACAGAGATTAGGATAGCTAGGTGGCACAGCGGATAGAGTGCCAGGCCTGGAGTCAGAAAGACTCGTGGTCCTGAGTTCAAATCTGGCCTCAGACACTTGTGTGACCTTGGGCAAATCACTTAATCCAGTTTGCCTCAGTTTCCTCATCTATAAAAATGAGCTGGAGAAGGAAATGGCAAACCACTCCAGTATCTTTGCCAAGAAAACTCCAAATAGGGTCACAAAGAGGCAGACAAATAAAACGACTCAACAACAACAACAACAAAAAAAAACCAAACCAGAGATTGTAAGGCTGTATTTCTGTTTATCTCAGAGGATTATTGAGAGGATCTAATGAGAGACTATAAATATATGAAAGTGCTATGTGAACATAAAGCATTATGCAAATGTTGTCATTTTATTATACATAACCGAGGCATGGAAATTGCTAAACAAATTTAATTCATTAAAAATATTACATGTATCTCAGACACTGGCAGACTGTTATTTGAAACTAAATAATTGAACTTAAGTATTTAAACTTTTGGTTGAAATATAGCCATTACTCACTCAGCATTACATACATGTTCAGCACTTATTAAAGAAAAGTAAGTGTTTACAAAGGAATTTTAAGATATTATTATTTTTCTTCTTTCTACTTCACAGTTTTCCATGAATTCACATAGCTGGTTTTATTTGAGAAACACAAATTTAAACTTCATAAAGTGGTGGATACAACGCTGTACTTGAAGTCAGAAAGACGTGCATTCGAATGTAGCTTCAGACGGTTATTAACTATGTAATCCCTGGGCAAATCACTTAACTTCAAGCCTCAGTTCCCCTATCAGTAAAACGAGGATAACAAAAGCACCTACCTTACAAGATTGTTGTGAGGATCAAAAAAGATAAAATATATGCAAAGTGTTTTGCCAAGCTTGCAGTGCTATGTAAATGCTAGCTATTATTATTTATCATTGAGAGGAAGCATGGTTATAGAGCAGTGTTGTCAAATTTACGTAGAAATGGGGCCACTAATCCATATAAAAGGATCCCTGTCAGCCCCATATTGACTTAGTTTTAAAATGTAATGTTATCTGGCTAATATGGAAATAAGTTTTGCATGACTTCACATATATAATCAATACCACATAGCTTGTTTTCTCAAGGGCCGGGGAGGGGCAGAAGGAAGAGAAAGAATTTGGAACTTGAAACTTTAAAAAATGAGTGTTAAAAATGTTTTAAAATGTAATTGGGAAATATTCAACAAAATGAAAATATATTTTAAAATTAACATAAAACGAAAATTAAAAATGTAATGTAATCCATATCTTACTGCTGTTGTTTTTTAAAAATTTATTTCTGTTAAATATTTCATAATTACATTTTAATCTGACTCAGGCTACAATGGGGGCCCACAGGCCTTAGGTTTGACATCTCTGCTGTAGTGGACACAGACAGGGCCCTACAGACAGAAAGGCCATGGTTCAGGTACTGCCTCTGACCCATAATGGCTTTGTGGGCAAGTGCTCTAGCCACTGACAAAGACTGTAAGTCAGAAAGAAGGCACTGGTGCACACTGGTAGAGAAACCTTCCTCATCTGGGGGCACCCTAGATAATAAATGAAACCACAGATCTAGTCCCTCTTCCTACTGTTATTATTTGCTCTCCTCTCATATAACTTTACCAAGAGCCATTCCAGTAACAGGGAGCTGGCAGATCTTGAGCAATTATAAGAATCTGGGTTTACCTGACAATTTCCAAAGCTGCTTGGCTTTGATTCAAAGCAAAGGGAAATGATGAGATACCTGGCCACAACCTGAAATATACACACACCTGACAATGACAATCCCTGCCTTTTAAGGAGATCCATTTTCTGCATCTATTTTGCTTGCTAATCTTTGAAGCATTTTATTCAGAATAAGATCTGGTGACAGAGAAAGCAAATAAAACAAGTTTCCCTCTTTCATCATTATATACATAGTGACTGCCCTTTCAACTCTTTGTCATCCTTAGCACTGGCTGCTTCACAAAAGTATAACTTCCTCTAGTACCCAGTGAAAATTTAGTGTTACATCTGTGTGAAGGAACCCCAAGTTTCATGGAATTGTACTTCTTGACTGCTTAAACAAAAGACAGTGGCTTAACTGTTCAATGAAACATCTATTCTTTCCTTACAGGAAGGTAGCAAACTAGATTGAAAACAAATGAGAGCAAAGAAACATACATGAAAGAATCCACAGGAAAAATGTAACAGACTTTCATCACTCTCATACCTGGCTCACTGTTCCAATCTCAGATCTCAGCCAGACCGGATTTAACTGACGGATATCCCAACCATCGACAGTGATAGTTCCTTTTGCAAAGTCAGGGAGAGAGAAGGAAGAAAATACATCAGGAAGAAATGAAGAATTTCTTGATCCAAATGATCAACCCAGAATACATATTAGAAGAATTCTGTGGGGAAACTTCAGACTCAAGTTTTTCACAGATCAAATCCAAAGAAAACCTAAAATTTTAGCAAGAAGAATTAGCTCCAGACCATAAGTACCTAGGGCAGTGTCCTTCAGTCAGTATTTGTTGATGATAAGAAGAAGAGTTATCAAGATACACCTCTGGAAACAAACATCAAATGGGCAGCTAGGTGGTGCAATGGCTAGAACTCTGGCCTTGGAATCAGGAGGACCTGAGTTTAAATCCGGCCTCAGACACTGCAAGTCACTTAACCTAATTGCCTCACCAAAAAGCAAAAAAAAAAAAAAGTCAAAGTTATGTTCTCTCTTGTCCTCATTTGGGATGATGTAAACTCTGGATTTAAACATTTAATTAACTGGCAACTTTTTGATATCCCTCAGTTTACTCTCCTCTTGAGACAGAGGAAAAACAACAACCCACGAGTTGAACAAGACACTACACCACTTGTTCAAAATTATAATGAGCCCCAAACTTTTAGTCACACTAAATTATGGAAACACCATAGGATCATAGCTTTATTATTTAAAGGGACCATCTAGTCCAACCTCCTTAATTTCAGATAAGGAAAACAAACCCAGAAAGATTAAATGAATTTCCAAGGTCACACAGATAGTAAGAGACAAAGCCAGCTAGACCTCTGATGCCAGTGCTCTTTCCACCATATCACACTGCCTTAAATTCTTAGTTTCTCTTTGGCAAGGAATCCTTGAACTCAAAAATTCATGGAAAGAGAAGGCAACTTTTCAATGTGATGGTTCTGTAGAAGAAAAAGCCTCAACTGAAGTCCAGTAAAGCCCACAATAGCACAACTTGCTGCCCAATGGACTTGGACACACCAGGAGCCAACTAAGGCCTTATCTACTTAAATGGCCACAAAATGTAGCAACAGCTTAGACCAGCTCTGCATGGTGTTAGGACGAAAGTATCCCATGCAGGAGTTATAGGATACGTTTCTTCTATCTTAGGGAAGAAATAAGTACAGATAAAACTTTTCAAATTTCACAGCTAACCAACAGGGTTGATTCAGTGAAGCCCTAAGTCAGAAAGCCTTGGATTGCTTGTTTTCTTAGTCTAAAGTAAAATCAATACATATTTATGGTGTACCTCCTATATTCGAGGAATTGTGCTAGGTGGAGTTGGGGGATACCAGGTGGTGTATATAATCCCCACTATCAGGGAGGATAAAATGTCTTTGGGGAAATAAGACAGAAACTATGAAAAGTTAAATAAAAGACAAATATTTCAAGATAATAATCAAGAGATTTGAGCCAATCATTTGTAGGGTGGCAATTAGTGTCATAAGTTATTTAAAGGGTAGTTAAGTGGAGCCACAGTGCACAGAGCATTGGGCCTGAAGTCAGGAAGACTTCCTGAGTTCAAATCCAGCCTCAGACACTAGTTGTGTGAGCAAGTCACTATTTGCCTCAGTCCCTTTTCTGTAAAATGAGCTGGAGAAGGAAATGGCAAGCCACTAGAGTATCTTTGCCAAGAAAACCCCAAATGGGGTCACAAAGAGTCATCATGACTAAAATGAATGAATAACAACAAGACATTAACCACTGATGAGCTCTGCTCAGGTGTGCTGAAAGTATTTAAAGTATTTTTTAAAAATAAGTTACACAACTCTAAACTGTAAGCAAAAAAAAAAAAGAAAAACTAGACTTTTGAATTTATATTTTACTTACAAAGAAACTCAAAATTGAATTTAAATGACTAACATAAAGAAAAATTAGTAAGATAATCACATATAATTTAAAAATATATAACTATATTAGTGAGAGGGTGGCCATGGCCAGAGTCCAGGTTTTCTTGGATTCTTGGCTAACACAGAACTTCAGCAATGTGTCTGAAAACTGGACTCAACTGCATTTTTTTCCATCTCTAATTTCAAAGGCTAACAAGTGTGGCTCATGAAAATAATTTCCAGATTTTTAGACTGGAGACAGGGAGTTTAAAATCAAACTATGATCCACATGCAAAGTAAGTAGTATTTTCATTAGGAAGAAAGTGGGCTAAGTACTATCAACCTTCAAAGTTCACCAGGAATTAAACAGCCTGTTACATTTTTTACCTTTTCTCCCAATAATCTTGCTTTGGGGTTGGACAGCATGCTTGCTGTAGCTTGTTAAGAAGACTTAGGTTATACCTTATAAATAACTTCCTGTCCCTGAGTTAAGCTTTTTACACTAAAGAAGGTGTGAACATATTTTTTTTGGTCTGGACCTGTGTTTTCACTAGTATAAGGAATTGTGAAATTCCCTCTGGAATTGCATATTTGACATTATTCTGCAGCTTTTCACAGTCTGAGAGTTGTCTCGGGCACAGAGAGGTGAACTTTTTTCTCTGAATACATTAAGAAACATCTTCCCATAATGACTTTGGTGTATTTCAGCTTACAAGTGAGAAGATGAAGTAGATGGCTTCATGAGGGTTCTCATTAGTGTTGACAGTAACATATACATATGACCTCTTCCCAGGCAGAAAGACCAAGTGAGCAAAAGCTCAGACCTCCCCAAGAGACAACGATGAAAAGACAGAGCAGCATGGTACAATGGGAACTGCACCGGGCTTGTAGTCAGAGTGCCTGGGTTCAATTCCTGCCTCTGCAACTTGTTACCTATGTGACATTGGTCAAGTCATTTGAGCTGCTGGGGCCTCAGCTACCTCATATATAAAATAAGGGAGCTGGATTAGGTGAATACTAAGGTTCCTTCCAGTTCTAAGCCATTCAAAATGTGAAGATGCAGAAATAAAGAGAACCATATTATGCCTACTGGGGAATTCTTGCACAAGGTAGCTACCATATTGGTTAAGATATCACTTTGTTGGGCAAGTGACATCTGGAGTTTGATTCAGCACAGTGTATAGTGGATAGGGTACTCAACTTAAGAGTAATAAGACTTGGATTCAAATACCCCCTCTAACATGACCTGTGTGATCCTGGACAAGTCATTTAACTTCTCTGGGCTTCATTTTTCCCATCTGTAAATCAAGGAGGTTGGAATCAATGACTTCTAAGGTCCCTTCCAACTCTAACTATATGGTCCTATGGTCCCTCAGTTTGTCTTCACTCAGAGCAGGGATGGAGAGAATTGAAGGACCAAAGTTCTTTTACCTTCTAGTCTCTGCATCTACATATTACTTACCAGAGATAGGATCGTATAGCCTTAATAGAAGTGATACCACTGTGGATTTCCCTGAACCACTTGGGCCAACCAGTGCTGTGATGGATCCAGATGGAATTGAAAGGCTAAAATCTTGGAAAATCTTCACCTCTGGGCGAGCCGGATAAGCAAAATTGACTCCTTTGAACTCTAGAGAACCCTGGAAGGTTTCTTCATCTAATAAAGTACCCTCTGAAATAGAAAGCAAGACATAAGTTATTTAAATAAAAAATTCAACTTGGAACAAAAGTCACATGTGCCAAATTCTTGAACCAACTCCATTTTAAACACCAATAGAACTCAATGTAAACCCACCATTAAAAGGGAGTACTGGCTTTCTCTCAAGGAGCTCCCAGAGGCGTCTTCCAGCACCTAGGCCTTTCATCAACTCTGAATAGAAAGAACTCAGGCCTGAGGCAGGAAACAAGAAATACAAACTTAGAAATAATCTAAAAATAATCAAGAAATAACATCAAGAAATAATGATTTCCCAGAAACTTCTAGGAACATCAGCAACTCTATGTAATCAGAACTTCATGTGAAAATCTCATGCCCTTGTACAATTTATAATTCTCATCTTATAATCCCATTTATTTCTTAGAGAAGCTCTTTTTAAAGTTATATCAGCAAGACAGAAAAAGACAAGCTGGCCCAAAACCTAACTGCATTTGTGTGCACATGTCTGTATGTGTGTATTTATCCTGTACTTCTTAACTATGAGAACAGCTCATTTTACAATTGAGGAAACTGAGGTTAAGAGAGAATCTTCCTGTGGAAAAAAAATCATTGTGCTTTTCACACACACACACACACACACACACACACACACACACACACACACAC